CCTGCATCTCCACCATTACGCATCGGATGCCCTTTCTACCAAAAATCACGTTACCATATTGGCAACTGATTTTGAAAGGGCTTTCGATCGCGTAGGGGTGCATACAGTACTGGATCAACTTTCACGGTGGGGGGTAGGTCAAAAGACCTTCAACTTAGCGAAGGCCTTCATGATCAACCGTTCTATCCGAGTAAGAGTTAACAACACTCTATCTAAATTCTACACTCTCCACAATGGGATCCCACAAGGATCGCCCCTCTCTGTGGTATTGTTCATGATCGCCTTCCAGTCCTTAAACAACATAATTTTAAGACATAAGCAAATTAAACTGGCAATTTATGCAGACGATGCCATAATTTTTAGCAAATGTAAGAATACTACTGCACTAAATAATAAGTTTAAAGAAGTCCTTAATGAAATCCAAATCTGGGGTAACACCTCCGGTGCGACTCTTGCTGTAAATAAATGTAAAGTTTTTCATATTTGTAAAAAAAAGCGCTGTACATACCCACCATTATCGCACAATGACATAGATATAGAACGCGTTTCTTTTCTTAAAATACTTGGCCTGACATTTGATAAACGACTCACATTTAAACAACACTGTAGCGAACTTAGGAAGAAACTTATTAAGAGACTTAACATTATAAAATTCTTAACATCTAAGCGATCTCTCATCCACCGGACCACACTTATACAAGCGACAAGAGCTCTGTTGTTGTCCATTATTGATTATGGACTCCCCATCTACGGCTGGTGCGCGCCATCGCACTTAAGAAAAATCTTACCTCCTTACCATGCGGCCGTCAGGCGTAGTATTGGCGCATTTCCAACGACCCCAACTAAATGCATCCTAGCAGAAGCAGGTTTGCCGGACATTATAACCCGAGTCACGCAAACTACCTTTAAATTAATACCAAAACTCATGTGCTCAACCAACTCTATTCTGCTGAAGGACTATAAAGTTGCCTCAAAGCACCGTAGGAAATTCAAAGTCCAATCTACGATTCGAAGATGTATAACCTTTACCAAGAGACACAACATAGGATCGCCTTATCGTTGGAACAAAGTCATTCCATCCCCTCCGTGGAAAATACGCTCCACCGCCATTGACACTACACTTCATGATTTTCAAAAATCAAAGACCCCTATCACAACGTTTAAGCAGCTATTCGAAGAAGTTACCCATAAATACTCCGATAGGAAATGGCTTTACACCGATGGTTCAAAGTCCGATGCCACCACCACCTTTGCAGTGGTTGACCAACACGGATTAATTGTCTCTTGGGGTCGACTACCTCACCACTTCTCAGTTTTCGCTGCGGAAGCAGTAGCTATTGTTAAGGCAATTAAATTTGCTCTCGAACTTAAAGGAAGTTATGTCATCTGCAGTGATAGTCTGTCCACCCTGCAAGGAGTACAAAACTTCTACAATAACAATAACCTTTTATCCGAAATTCGTCACCTCTGCATAAAAAACATTAGCAAAATTCAACTGTTATGGGTCCCGGCCCATATAGGAATAACTGGGAACGAGATGGCCGACAATGCTGCAAAATTAGCCGGACGGGCTCCGTGCCTTACAATCATACCTGGAGTACAACAGGACATCTGGAAAAACATCAAAAACATTTTGCGGGACATCGAACTGGAAGACTGGTCGTCGTTTAACCACTGGTATAAACAATCTAACCCTGACAAGAAAGACATCAAGTTCCCTACGTCGCTTAACGGAAGGGAATGCGCCATTCTCACACGATTAAAAACCGGACACACAAATCTCACGCATAAGCACATCCTTAATGGGGAAACTCGGCCAAACTGCCCTAATTGCGGAGAAGAACTATCAGTAAAACATCTACTGGATACCTGTGGTCACTACCAAAACAGCAGAACACACCTATTCGGTCTCACCCCGCCATCAAATCTATTATCTGACCTCACAGCTGCCAACTCCAAACTATTATTATCTTTCCTACGAAATTGTAAAATTACACACCTAATTTAAACTCCCCCTTTTAATTATCTAATATCCATTTCTTTAAATGTTAAATCTCAAATACAAATGTAAACAAACTGTTATCAATTGTCGAGTCGATGGCCATAGTAGCTAGTTACTCTTCCCTCTAAATTAGTTATTATATTGTAAATTCGATTTATGTATTATAGCTAATATTGAAATAAATAAATAAATATTTTTTATGAATACTATTTAAAATACGCCTCTCTCTATAAATAAATATATCTCTATAAATGTATATTGAAATGTACGATAGAAGGCAAATTGTAGATTAAAAATCGAATATTTAATAATGGGTTAAAAGTGGCATCTTTGAACTGTATAATCAGAATTAAATTGAGACGTATTGCTATATTAACAGCCTGCCTCACTAGAATCAAATCAGTAGAAATTTGAATTTTAAGCGCATCTCATTTATAGAATATTCACAATGAATCTGGATTTAAAATTGTGTTTAAGAATATTTTTTTTAATTCTAATGGGCTTAAGAACTTCAAGTCAAAACCTTCAGAAAAACCCATTTCTTCGACAATATTTTCATAATTCAAAGCCAGAAGCTCCTTTAAGTCAAAACCTTCAGAACAACCCATTTCTTCGACAACATGTTCGTAATTTACGGCCTGAATATAAACCAAATACGTACGAGTATGTTCCTTGCAATACTTTTTATTGATCTTTTTGTATCATTAGAATATTTTTTAAAATGTGTTAAATGAATTTTTTAAAATTCAAGCCATTCGGATTACGAGTACGTTCCTTGCTGTACTTTGCGTTCATTTGCGCCTTTTTCTAATAGCTGTCACTTTAAAAATCATGGTAACCGATGTCTTCGAAGAAAGAGAAAATTCACTGAATCAGTGAGTATTGAAATCGAATCTTTTTTTGTATAATGCTAACCTGAGACTTATTTTGTAGCCTTTCATAACTAATTGATTGGTATTGATTGGTCAAATATGGCTTTGGAGTAATACAAAAAACCACCCGGCAATAACAACAAGGAAATATTGGACACCAGGGTCAGTCACACCTGACTTTTAATTTTGGATAATATAAATACTTTCCCTTTTTAAAAATTCCTGGAAATCCTTTTTTTTTTTAATTGTATATTAAATGTTCTGAGATTCTTCGCCTATTAAGCTTATGAAAAAATTAAAAATAATACAAATTTCAATTTATGCATCCATACAATTGAACGTATTTTGGTAGAGGCCTGAAGCCTATGGATCTATCCAGGGTCTATCCATCCGAAGGTTCAAAAGTTCAGCAGATGGTTTATAATTTTTAAAATGCTTAGGAATAAAACACTCCGATTCGAGTTAATTTAGGTAGCATTTCACGTTCATTTGTATTTTAATGTTATCTATCCCATTTAAAAAGCCAAATACGGGCTAGAGTTAACTTTTTGCCAGCGATTGTTTTAGCACGTTTTTTTGTGGGAAAACAAAAAAAGTGTATGTTTAAAAAAGTTGAATATTATGCTAAAGGTTTTTTTCTCCCAACTTCGTTTTTCATTTGTTTATGCTGTGCCTAATTTATGCAGGTTCAAAAGTCCCAGCCCCATAATTAAAATAATAATGATTTAAATAAAACCGTCTTGCTGTACGTACAATAAATTTATAAAATACCAATTCAATTCCGAGAGTGTGGGTAACCAAGGACCATTGCAAGTGGGTGGCTGGAATGGAATTGCATCATCGACGTCCGGCGTGGCGTTGGAACCCGACCATAAATAAAGTTGATTGTGCTCGTATGAACCAACATGGCCTTTAATCAAATTCATTCCAACGCGAAAATGCCAACAAAAAATGCTTAAATGGTGGAAAAAAAATTATTTGCAAAGGAAGTACGCTTAAATTCGATTTTGTGAGAAAGGAAATTGTTTACAAAACTTTTAAGTTATAAGTTGTGATTTTAAATTAATTAAAACTAATGGTACTTTCATGGTCTCATTAATAAGGATATTTATTAGTCTTTTACCATTTGTAAGAACATAAAATTGTACATTTGGCTCTTTATCAGAAGGATGGCACGTAACTTGAGTAAAATAATTCCATTTTTTGTTGTGTTTCTGATTTTTTCATGGACTTTTGGCAACCGTTGGCAGAAAGCTAAAACCTAACGCCAGCATGACAAAAAAATCTCTACAAGCACTGACAACGTGAAGGGCAGATAAATGTTGGGACAACGCCGGGCAAAATTGAAAAACTTGCAGTCCGCCAAAGTTTCGCTGCACACGCCCCCTAGAAGATTCTTCGTTTTGTCTTCTACAAGAAGCAATAGCTAAGCTGCAGCACCCTGACAGTTGGCATACATATAGAATAAAATTAGATATTATTTAATACACAATTTTTGCTTTTTAACAGTTTTATTATTGTTTCTTAAATATATTTTTTAAGGGTTTTATAACTAAAATATAATAGTAAAATATATATAATATTTTACCTTATTTTTTTGTGTACATTTTAAAAGTCAAAGCTTCATGCGTTGAAAAGATGCAGCAGGTGCACGTATTCCGCAAGTTGTAAAAGATGGCTCTGGATGGGGTGTGCGATGCGTGCGTTAAACTTTGTTTGAGTTGGCTGACCAGGGGCATTGAATTACCAGAGCCAGTGGCTCCTTAACAAATTCTCGATGGTTGGAGCAACGAGCAATTAGCGCCTGACGATCCTTAAAAAGGATTACCCAACTCAATTTGGAGTACACTCGATATGGCTATTAGGCCCGACAGGCTGTCATTAGTACCATCAAACGTCCGACCCAGAGCCGCCAAATATTTGCCAATGTTTTGAGAGCAAACAAGGGACTAATGTACATATGTTAATGTGGTCAAGAGCCGCGTCCGCGACCGCCCACGAAATTGCTTTGAAATTAGCCGGAATACACAAACCGAGTACACGCACATATTTTCCTTTCAAAGAGGGGTATACTAATTTTACAGCTCATATTCATCAAAGAAAGAAATCGTTTTCATTACACTTTATTCTCATCCATACAAGAGTTAGAAATATCCATTAAAAATTGTTTATTTTCTTTGTTGATAATGAAAGATATCTGATAAAACGTTTACTGCTAAGGTGGTAATTTCTCGTAAAATTGAAAGCCATGGGTCCACTGCAATCATCCTTCACCTGCTATGCAAATATCTAATTACAACCATACCCCCGAAGCTAAATTAAACACGCCATTTAATAACCAACGTGTGCACTCCTCCTATTCCTCAACCTTAGCGGCGGCGGTGGGAAACTGGAACTTGCCAATGTGCTCCATGGTGTGGCGCAACTTCTCCAATCCGCTGCAGTTGGCTTCTTTGTAGGCAGTCAGCTCCTGCATGGCGGTGAACCAGCGTTGCAGGCGAGGAAATCGCATCAGTGGAAACATGAGATTCACAGTGCTCAGTGTGGTCACAATGGATAAGTCGGCGAGAGTCAGCTAAAAACCGCAGCAGAAGCAAACGCGAAATTCTAAACTTAATTGAACCGCCACAGAACAGAGAATTTCAATTTGTTGAGGTAATTTGTTACCTGTTCGCCGGCCATATATTCGCTCTTTTCCAGGTAGCTCTCCAGGGCGCCATACGCCTCGGTCAACTTTCGCTCGTGATGAACCACATCGACATGGGCAAATCCCTGGCGGACAATCGCCGACTATTGAGAGGGATAGAAAGCCATTGAATATATACGATTACCAGGAAAAATTATCATTTAAATCTCACCATAAAATCACTGTCCCGACGAAATAAAAAGGAACATTCAAAGAACAAGCGATTCAATACCAGCATGCGCTTTTCATAGTCCTTTGGCCAGAGATTCCCTTCGACATCATACTTCTCCGCCAGGTGAACAAGTATAACATGACTATCTGTTAATACCAGGTCTCCATGCACTAAAGTTGGAACACTGTGTTGGGGATTTAACTGAAAACCGAGAAAAATTATATTAGAAGAGTGAAGAATAAATTTGCATCACTCACCGCCAAAAAGTCTTTTCCGAATTGTTCGCCCTTGAAAAGATCCACAAACCGTAGCTCCACATCAATATCCAGCAACTTAATTAACATAAGACAGCTGCGTACTGGGGGACTGCGATCGTCATAGTATAAGATCGGCTTAGTTTGAGAAGACATAAGGAAAAAATCACAGAGACAAGCGATCAACGTGAAAGACAATCCGCAACTGAATCGGTTTCCAGTACCTACAATTGATCATATGTCATATTAGATTTTGTAAAAAGAAAAATAATAGAATAATTAATTATGAATATTTCAAATATATTGTCTTTTTAATATAAATTAAAGAAAGAACATTTCTTGTGAAAATAAAATGTAACGGACATTTTAAATTGTCCACTCAGTAGCTAAGTGTTGGGTAACGTTAACAACATGTTAAAACCACCATGTATTTAACATTTCTGTTAAGTATAAACATTACTGTTAAGTAGAAACAGCTGATGGGCCACACTTTCCGAAAAACCGAAAAAACATTTGATTATTATTTTAAGTTTTCTGACTAAAAACTCGTTCGACTTTCGGGCTAACCTGCTTTACCATGTACCTCTCGCGCCATTTAAGATTGCTGCCCAAGGCAAACATTGCCCGCAGCTTGAATGGAGGTGGAGTGCATTACACAACAGCCAGCAGTGCGGCGCCGGCAGAAGATTCCCCCATACAAATACCCAACCGTATCCAGCGCTCACCCACAGATTTGCTGCAAGCCCTGGCAGGAACCGTTGGCAGGGACAGCACGGCACCCCACTACAAATACCACGATGATCCATTCCTGATACCGATGTCCAATGCGGCAAAACGAACCTATGCCATGTCCAAGGAGTCTGGACGCAAAGCGGCCCAGTGGATTAAGGAGGAGCACCGAGACTTATTTTTGGTAAGTATATTAAACAAATACGAATGTGTTTATTTCTTACACTTTGTCTTCATAGCACCAAGAAGCTGAACCTTCCATTGAAAAGTTTGCTCCAAGCATGGTCTACACTGAGGACTCCCAGGTGGATGAAAGCTCGCTCTCCCAATTAATTTCCCAGGGTGAACTCAAAGATGCTGTGCTTGTGTACAACCTACTGGAAAAGAAGGGAGTAGAAATTAGTTCTGAACTGAAACAAAGCCTTCTGGAACTGGTGTGTTTTTACAACAACGACGAACCGTTGCCCGAAGAGTGGATTGAGGAACGCTGGTTTCTGCAGAATAACCGAAGACGTGAGCGTGGTGGAAAGACCTGGAAAGACGGAGATCTGGCGGAGAAGCTATACGCCGAAATTGAACCGAAAACTCCCCAATCCTACGCCGCTCTTATAAGAGGAATGGCCAAGTATCTGCAGTGCGAGCGGGCTTTCGCGCTGCTACAAGAAGCCGGCGAGAAGCGCATCCAACTGGACACCAACACCTACAACTCCATCAATCAAATTGTTAGCCTCCTAAAGGACAATGCAGAACAGCGATGGCAGTTATGTACTGACCTTCTGCAGGAGATGTCACAACAAAAACTGCTTCCCAATATCGGAACCCTAAACGCCGTATTGGAGTGTATTAGCACTTTTGGTAACTTCAAGCTGGCCCGCACATCGGCTCTAAAGGTGCTCCCCGAATTTAAGAAGCTTGGCGTGAGTCCCAGCTTGGGAACCTACTATTATCTGCTGATTATCTTCTGCCGTGAAAGAGGTCCAGTGTCCCACATTATTGTAGACATTCTTAACGATATTGGCGGCAAGGAGTTAAAAATAGTTCACCCCAAGGACACGTACTTCTTTGCTACAGCGATGGATGTGTGTCGCAACCATTTGCATGACAAATCCCTGGCTAAGAAGGTGGACGCGCTTCTTCACACCGGCAAGAACTACGATCTGATTGGCGATTCGTTCAAGGAATCCATTTACTATCGCAACTACTTGGCACTGCTTTGCCAGACAGAGACGATCGAGGACTTTATGCTGACTTACGACCAGCTGGTTCCGAATATTTACATCCCAGAGCCCGGTATCATGGAGGAGATCCTTAGGGCTGTCGAGATCAACGGTGCAGTGGAGCACGTACCGCGTATTTGGTCCGATATGGTAGTATTTGATCACACGCACCGTGAGAGTCTGCTGCTCTACGTTTTACGAATTATGGTGAACAACAAACCAAGCACAGATTCAGGCGCCCACCAGCAGCTACCTGAGCAATGCGCTAAAGTGGCCCTGGATATGTACGAAAAGGTGGAGGAAGCCGTCAAGCGCCTGCGTAAGGTCTCTTTCACAGGTCAAATGTTGGGTGATATCCTGACCCTGCTTGTCCGCGGGGATAATTTCGAGAAAGCCACTGAAGTGTTTGCTCACATCGACAAGAACCAGCACAGAATTCCCGGAACACCCTCGGAGACAGCGCTGCAGGAATTTGTGGAAGCCAGCATACAGAACAAGTCTCCTAGCCAGGCACTAACTGCACTTCAATATGCCGTGGATAATAACATGGAAAGCAGTACCCTGGCACGACGCATTCATAATGGATTCACCTTGAACGAAACGCATTTGGCCAAGCTGAAATCGCTGGTGGGGGAAAGTTTCCTTGAAAAATAACTAAACTATATAATACAATTGTAATTAATATGAACAGAATTGTTAAATAATAAATAAAAATAAAATTTAAAGATTTTTAAAATGGTTTTTAAAAATGTAATTAAAAAACGATTCGTTTATTTGAATAAAAAGACTTTTAATATAAAACATATATTGACTAGAGATTGTGATTTCAGGTAGAGATTTTAGAAATAATACTTTAGATTTAAAGATGAGCAGTATTTTAAAGTAAATGCCAGTGATAGATTCTAGATAAAGCGTCATAGAGTCAATATTGACTACTCCTCCTTTGTAGAGGACGCGGATGTTACTTCCCAGTTAACTCCATCGTGTGGCAGCTCGCTCCGAACAAACGGCGACAGCCAGGTGAGATGCATTCGATGGCCAAGGACCATCTCCAGGTTCCCCCGTAGTCCGCGGTCGTACTTTCTACTGTTGCGTTCCCTCGACACCGATCCAATGCTCACAATGGGCCAGTGGAATATCAGCAAAAGGGAGGATATGCCGAAACCAAGTAGATTGAGTTCATAAATTACTAGATAAAAGCTCTCCCAACTGGGTTTCAGGGTGAGACTTAAAGCCGGTGCCACAACAGTATAAAGTGACGATAGCTGCCAGTACACATCAACGTGGAGGTACCACAAGTATACACTGTGTGTGATGAGGGCGGCCAGGGAGCCAATTATCATGTACACCAGGAAAAACAGAAAGTACCGATAATTGTGGTGTCCAATGCAGCAGCCGATAAAGCGGCAATGATGGTCTCTTTTCAGCACGCATACGTTGCAAACCTCGCAGTGCCAGGAACGAGGAGGCACTAACGTCTGGCAGTCGTGGCAACTACGCCAGCGGCCCAGCTTGACCGGCTCGGATGGTGGTTTCAGCAGCTCCACTAGAAGGTAACTATCAGTAAAGTCGAGATTACGACAATGCGGCACACTCACTCCTGATAGTTGTATCCACCAGCATTGCGGCCAGCATGTTTGAGCTTATATTGAACACGATGAACAGACTGGCCAGCCAGAGCACCGTGTAGCAGAATCCTCCGATGGCGAACAGCTCCGGAAGTACCACTGTGATCTGGAATATGTAGGTAACCGGCACAAAGATGGCCACAAGCAAAAAGCAGCCAAAGTCTGCGATGGAACGGGGAAGAACCCTATCCCACGGACGAAGAATCATCTTGCTCCCGTTATTGCACCCCAGCTGACTTGTTTGACTGTTATAACTAGTTCATTACTCCATCCAGGATATGGTTCTTCTTGGAACGATATCACATCTTTAAAAATCGTGTACCGATCGATTATGAAAAATATTAATTAGTTTTTGTGTTCATTTCCTTCCGTTAATTAATTCTACAATATTGATAACGAGATTTGAATATATACATTTTTTTTATTTAAATATACTATATACAAAAGTGCTGATAGCAGACTTGTAGCAGGTTAATAGATCAACGAAAATCACATTTTCCCTTTGTTTCTATATATGCATTACATTCCTTTTAAAGCAAAACAGTTGTTTTTTAAACTGCCGTTTCACAATAAATGAAATTTCTTAATTCAATTTGCAGCGGAACATTAAGCTGTGGGAGAAACAATTAAAAACAAAAAGAAAACTTGTTCGGTTTTATAATAAATGAAGTTTCCGCAAAATAAAATTCTCATACAACTTTGCACCTCTTTCATTTTTTTAAAGATTTTACGAATTTAAGAAACTTCGATAAATCGGGTAAAAAAGAACTGGTTCGCCGCTCGGAACCAGCTCACCCCGCAACAGGGAGAACCGAGTTATTTAGAAGAGTGCAACAGAAACAGAAAGCTAATCAAACTATTGCGGCCGTAAAACATTCCAAATGCTGCGTTGAAACTTATCACAGCAGTCGCGTACTTCATCGCATTCCGCACGATTCGGTCGACCTCTCGAAATCCGGAATATGTCTTCGGTTCAGCTAGTGGTCTTGGCAGTTAACGGGCTGCTCCTATGGGGAACCGCCTACGCGGGTGTTCCGCTCCAGCGGTACGAGGCCGTTCTTAAGCAACAGTCCGCCCCAGAGGACCGCCAACTGGGTCTCTATGATGACAGCGACAAGGTGGTTGGCCTCACAGTTTCCAACTTCGATGAGACGGTGGTCAACAAGAGCCACGGTGCCCTGGTTGAGTTCTACAACTCCTACTGTGGACACTGCAGGAATTTCGCACCCACCTACAAAAAGTTAGCCGAGCAGCTGCTCCCGTGGTCTGAAGTGGTCATAGTGGCGGCCATTGACTGTGCTGCGGAGGAGAATAACGGCATATGCCGTACCTACGAGATAATGGCGTATCCCACCCTGCGTTACCTCAGTCCGGGCTACCAGCCAGCTCCCCAACACTACGGGGAGCCTCTGAGAACGATTGATTTGGATGAAATCCGAGGACTACTGGCAGGCAAGGTGGCCGCCGAGAACCTGACCAGCATAACAAACAACACCGCTTGGCCAAACTTTCATCACATATCAGATAGTGACTCGGCCAGCAGTCTGTTCGAGGGTCTAAGCAGCCTACCGCAGTACGTGGCGGTAGTTCACGAACCAGAGAACTCCACGCTGGCCATCGAGACGGCCCTCTTCCTCCTTCAATGGCCGGCGGTTCAAGTGCGCCGCGTCACCGATCCAGAAGTGGCTGCCAAGTTCAAGGTAGAGCCGGGTACTAATCCAGTAAGCCTTGTGGATCGTAAGGGACACATTAAGGCTTACTCGCCAGCAGCGTCGACAGGCGAGTCGTATGCCCAAACGATAGAGCAAGTGCTTCGCAAGGAGAGCTTTACTCCCAGGCCCGTGAAGGAAAATATCGTTGCTCCAGAAGCGAAAAAAACCCAGCCAACTGCCCTAATCGAGGAGGTGCATCGGAACAAACACTTTGTTTACCAGGCGGATCTTGAGCAGGCCATTCGCACGATACTCCACAACGAGGTGCCCAAGGTGGGCGAGATTAGCGGCGAGAAACTGCTTGCCCTTCAACGCTTCCTAGTCGTGCTGCAGCGTTACAACCCGCTGGGCTCCAATGGCCGGCAACTCGTGACCAAGCTGAAGGACTACGTGGTCCAGTTCAACACCCAGCTGAGTGGCCAACAGTTTGAGCAGGAAATGAAAAGGCTGGAGGGTGAGCTGTCACCGGTCTACTCTACTAGCCACTATGTGGGATGCACGGCATCGAGTCCGCGCTACCGCGGCTACAGTTGCTCTCTGTGGACGCTGTTCCACTTTTTGACCGTCCAGGCAGCCAACAACGAAGCGTCTCAGGACCCGCTGGAGGTCCTGCAGGCCATGCACGGGTACATCAAGAACTTCTTCGGGTGTACCAATTGTGCCGAACACTTCCAGGTGAGTCAGCTCAGCCGCCATACGGTTGGCTACGTGCTAATGACCACAATAGTGCTGATTAAGGGGATCCGTCAGAGAAAGGGAGGATTGTGGGATTGCTGATTACCAAACAAAAGCCCTCGTCGCTGACTAGGGATTTTTCCATGCACTAATGTTTTGTTCAAAAACAAATTTACGAAATTAAGTTAAACCCAGACCCACAAAAAAACACGGTTGCTGATACATATTTAAGTGCTGTGTTGAAGTAATTGAGTCTTTGGATCAGCAGCTCTGGGTGTTCTTACCTAGCGTTTTATTGATTAGGCTAGCCCCACTCAACGCCCCGCAAACTTGTATAATGGGTGGTATACTTGTATTAATTGAATAGCCACGATCTAAGCTTTATCTACGTATTTACGTACTTGTGTACGTTTCCTGACCTCAGCTTTGTTTATGGCTGTGAAGTGGGCATTTATTGGAGACTGTAGAGCTGGTGACTCACCCCACCACTTTCTCCTTTAGCTTATTTGCTAATTAAAAACGAGGGTTTCTATTTATTTGGTAAAAAAGTACACTCCAATTCAGTCCTGACCAGTTTAACATATGGTTCCCTTATTGAAGTAACACTGTTAATAAGTAGGTTTTTTTTCACCAGCTGCGCCAACATTGAGTAACTTTCAATTTGTTTACCCCCATCAGGCAATGGCATCGAAGCGCAAAATCTGGAACGTGCCCAACAAGGAGGAGGCGGTTCTCTGGCTTTGGGCCGCCCACAACGAAGTTAACCAGCGCCTGGCCGGCGACAACACCGAGGATCCAGAGTTTCCCAAGATTCAGTTCCCCAGCAAGAGTAGCTGCAGCGAGTGCAGACGCTCCCCCGAATCGACGTCGGAGAACCTGGAAATCGAGTGGAACAAGGATGCCGTGCTGAGCTTCCTCAAAAACATTCACAACCCGCAATTTATAAGCCGGTTCGGCGTGGAGAAGGATGAAGTACTGCATCCGACGGCGGAGAAAATGCGGCAGAAACGGCAGATCTCCAGCGTCTTCACCGACATTGACATGCGAATGGGCATGCTCCTGTACGCCTTCTGCATTCTGATGATGGTAGTGGCCTTTAAGCTGTTTGCCTTCAAAGGATATCGCAAGAAGCCCTACGGACACGATATGCTTGGCAAGGTGTAGGCAGAGACTGCCTGCCAATGGAAGCGCTTCCACTAACTCTAACTACACATAAAGACACCGAACACCTCAAACCGAAAATTACAAATGACCACCTCCTGAATGTTTTTTGTACTTGTAGCACTCAGAGTTATGTTTAAGTCGAAAGTGTGTATATATATGTATGAACAGTCTTCTTCCAGTTGTAGCAACCTAATAATAATTGATATTATCCGCTTTTTACAACGACGATGCACCTGATTATTATAATTTTGATATGCAAATGATGTGATTGTCCCCCATGTGCGATTGAATAAAACGATCACTACTACTGAACTGTGTAGTTTACATTGTTTGACATTTGTTTAAATAGCAGCTTGCAAGATAAGGTGTAAACACATCGACAATGTTTGGAAAATGATAAAGGCGATCGATAGCCTGGAGAAGATATCAAAGTCGATTGGAGTTGCAGATAAAATCATACATCTCATACAAATCTTAATTTTAAAACAAAGTAGAGTTATCGTTTAATTTTATTTCAAAAATCTCTGGAAATCTGGATGCCACCAGGGCAACACCTTGTACTTCTCGATGCGAGCGTACTTGACAGTGACAGATACATTCAGGCTACCCTCCTCGCCAAAGTCTAGCTCCAGGTTTTTGGCCCGCATATCCGTGCAGAGGAGTTCCCGGGTGGCCTTCAGACGGTAGCGAGCCTGGTGCTGGCTGTAGGATAGTTGCTTAGGCGTGGGCACAAAACGGCGGCAGAGCACTATGAGAAGGACGACTCCCTCGTTGGGATTTGCCTGAGCAGGGACCACTTTTGCTGTATCCTCCTCAGCCAGAGACTCCCAATTGGTTACCACTTCCGCGGGCGCTGGCGCCTCCGATTCACTGGGCTGACGATCATGGTTGAGGCGATTCCAGAACTTATAACACATGATCCACAAGCACTGATACTGCTTCTGCCAGCACGAAACAAAGATGCGTTGCAGAAGCCAATCTAGGCTGTAGCCCAGCTCCATGCGAATCTTAAGTGGTCTGTGGCAGTGGAAGAGTGCCTCGATGACTAGGGATCTCAGGGCACGGGTATCACAGTTGCGTATCTGTTCCAGCTGAAGCTGTGCGGGCAGATCCAAATTCCAACCGGACGTTCCTCCTAGGCAGTAGCGCCTGTACAAATTGCGCCAGAAGGCTCTGGAGTTGACCAGTCGGGAAGTTTGCTTGCAAATCAAGGCGAAGGTCTGCACGTCCTCCGGCTCAATATGCATAGAGATGTGAAACCAAATGTCATGCCTTACGCTGATCCCGCTGTTGCTGTTGCCCTCCGCCATGGCCAAAGTCGCTGCAGTGGCTCGTGGCTGCAGTGACTTTTCCTTCACGGCTACGAACACATCGGTTTGTCGGGCATATATTGCTGCGAGAGAATCGGATATATTACTTGAAATTTGGAGCATAGTTTGACTTAGTTTCTTACCGCATTTCCCCCTTGTTCGAAATAGTTTGTTTTGAATGAACTCATCACAATCATCAAAACTCATAGCTCTCCCAGCTGGTTTATATTTTGTTTTGATAAGGGTTGTCGAGTTTCGCGATTTATTTATTTATTTGTTTCTTGCCTGATTAAAAAATATTCTAAAGTATAATATAAAGAAAGGCTTACGAAATCTTTATATACTTTAACGGATGATTTTTTAAGTTTTTTTCCTTATCATTTTGAGTTTTTAGGTGGCATCCCTAGACTTTGAAAAAGGTGGACAGCTCTGGCTAATCTGGAATCAGCTGTTGCTGGCGGTTGGATTATCAGGGAGTGTTTTATTTTCAATTGTTGCTTTGTGTTTTATATTAATATGAGAAAATACCAGCAACTGGTGCTGCTGGTCATCTCCTGCCTCAGCGTGGGCATCTTGCTAATGTACAAGACCGAGAACAATCGGCTGAAGTATGTACTGAAATACGTCAACTTCTTTGGTCGGAACGATGCCGCTGTGCTGCGTCGTTTGGAGAATGGAACCAAGGATGATCTGCCACAGGCGGCAATGTGGCGACCACTACCTGTCTGGCAAATGATTGGCGACTCCTTCCACGCCTACTCAGCTTTCTGGATGCGCAACGAATTGGTCGCCGGTGGAGCGGCACACGTCCTGGTGGTCGGGAAAAAGGGAGCAGTAGTGGACTTCCGCTGCAGCCTTGATCTGCTTAATGGTCGAAGTGTGCAGGGCAAGTTTCGCTTCCAGAGAGACTCCAGCGAACCAACGGTGGATGATAAATTGTCAAACTTTACCAGCTATCACTTCTTCTGCCAAGTTAGCCGGGATTTCGGCCAACCGGGTAGCGTCTCCTTCACTGACATCACATCCACCAAGAGTCCAGTGAAGTTGCGCCTGCGCAATCTTAAGCCCACAACCCAGAAGAAAGAATCCAAAGTATCAACGAATCCATCACGCCTGCCAGCCACCATTTGTGTGGACCTTGTTGGTTTCAATAGCACCTCACGATTTGCTCGGAATGAGAACGCGGTGTTGCAGTTCTTTCTGTTCCATCAAGCTCTAGGCATCGACCATTTTCTGGTGTACAACTACGACGATCTTTCCGAGGAAGTGATACGAGTTTTGGATCGAACAAATATCCATTTGTACGGATTACCCTTCAACTTTCCCTTCCGACAAACAAACGGAACCGTTTCAAGAATTCGCCAACTAATCCTCAACGATTGCTTGCTCCGAAATGTCAACCATGCTGGGTTTACCCTTCTGCTACAGCCTAACGAAGTTTTCTATCCCAATTCCCGATTTACCGCAGATGGGACCAAAGGATCAGTTCAGCAACAGCTGCGGCACTTTTCCTCGGAGACTACTCGCTTCGAATTGGCCACCATGGCAGTGTGCTATGACGAAAATGAAAAGTTCTTGCCTGACAACTCGAAGTACGACCCTGAACGACGGGCACCTTATAAAATGATTTTAAACCGCCTGGAGCTGCCACAATCCCAGCTATTGGCGAGCACCGGGGAGGTGGAATTGTCCCTCTCCACAGCATTCGTGCATCGCTATGTGGATTGTGACCACGTTGGCCGCGACGGACTACACGACTGGCGCAACGGGGTGCGCCAGGACTTTATGGAGCACATAAACGGACTGCGTAACGAAGTACACCTGCTCATCTAATATTAGTTTATAAGTTGTTATAGTAATTAGTTTGAGATTTATAGACGTAGCTCATAATTTGAGAGATTGCTTGACTGCCATAAAGATTTTTCACATAATTTTGATATAATTGTATAATTAATAGACATTTATAGACTCCGATCCAGCCGTGGCTTGCCCCGCCTGCATCAAATCCAGTTTTATTTGATAGACTTCTTCGTACTTAACTTAGGATCTATTTAAGACGCTGCATGAGAGCCGCGTTCTTGAGGCCAGCCTTCTCGATAGTGGAACTGTCGTCACTGAGCTCGCGGGTGGGAAACGAAGACACCAGGACGAAATTGCTAGTTGAGTACTGAGGACGTGCCCTGGAATAATAGTTGGAATTTAACCAATTCAAAAGATTCGGATATATGAGATCAATAGGGCTGGCTTACGTTTGGATGAACCGACGTATATCAGAGACGGTGTGCGTCAAATTGAATTGCGCCGCCAATCGTGAACCATCTGCCAGGCGAATCTGCAAAGTGGTTGAGGGCTCTTGGGAATTTAAGTTGATGGCATTGCGGGCATCAGCCTCTTGGTTGGCAGCCTCGACTGGGGTCAGGGCCACTGGAACTGGTACTTTTGGCTCTCCGGAGACCACATTTGCCACCGGACTTCCTAGCTTCTGGCCGGAGCCCTTGAATGTTTGCGGTACTGGCTGGCGCTTGAAGTCTTCATGCCTGTGGTCCTCCACATCCACGTTAACCATTCGACCCATTTCCAAAAGTTCCTGAGGTATTTCTCTAAAAATGCAATTATACACAGGGTTGGATGGCTACGTCCAAATAAACTGCTACTTACCCGCGCATCACGGTCTCCAGGAACTCTTTGTTCTGTGGATCGTCATAGTGACGCAGCTCTCCTCCGTCAATAGAAAACCCTTGGCTCCACAGCTTCAGGACAACCACCGGCTTGTTTTCAGACGACTGGGCTGGACGACTAGTGCCCACAGCCGTGTGGTCGTTATCCGTCATACCCAGCCTCATTCCTTGGCCCCAGACGTTGCCACTGGAGCCAGCACCTCCACTGCCGCCGCTGCTGGTGGTGGGACCCACCTCTGCAATATTTTGCTCCTGCGCAGAGCGCATCATGTCGGTTAACTGCTCCCGGAAGTTTTTGCGCTTGGGTGGACCCAAGACCTGTTGCCCCGATCGATCGGAGCCGCCGGCGTAAAAGGCCTGCTGCTCATCGTCGCTGGATGACTGCTGCTTGGACATATCGCTCAGGGTGGCGAACCTAGTAGAAGTGAGGGCTACTATTCATTGAAGGCGAGCAACGTATTTTCTTACTTTGGCTTGGCCTTTGATCCCGTGGGTCCAGCGTCAGCAGAGGTTTTAACCGCTGCTTCAGCGGTCGATGCAGCTGCTCCACTGCTAGAAGTGGGTTTGGCTCTCGGAGCAGGATTATCTGATTGACCGACCGTTTGAGCTGCAACCGGCACATCAGCTTGGGTGCTCCAGTAATTTCCAAGGGCTTGCTGGACAAAAATAAAAAATGCATCTGCGCATAAGTACTGCTGCATCATTGTGCCGGCTTCTCAAAACCTCACCTCAATATCCCAATCACAGCTGGACAGATAGAATCTGGCCGTGTTTTCGTCGGATCCCGTGATCTCTATGAACTGTGCAATTAGATCGCCCTGAGAGGCCATTTTCAGTGCAGGCTTCTCAAAAATATTTGCTTAACAAAAGAAGTGATTGACAAAAAAGTTGTAGGGTTGTTGACTATATATTAAAATTTCCCAATGTGACCAGCTGGTGTCCAAATTTTAATTTTTCGTTTTGTATGTTGATTTTTTTGGTCACACTATAAAAAAAAAAAATTTGAAAATGAGCTTTGAATGTGTGATTTTAGTAATATTTTTATAAAGAGCTAAAAATTTAAAGCAGACATTGGCGCGAAAATTAAAAATCAATTCTTTGCAAATATACTCGAAAAACATTTTAATCCGACAAGTGTGTACACACTGCAATTGGAAATTGCATGAAGCCGTTGTGGTGTTGGTAAATGCTTGGTTTTCGTAGATCTGGCCACACTATTCTTAATTTAAAATTTAAAAACAGCAAGTAATTGGTATTGTTTATTGGTCGTACATTACAATAAGCATTCACATTTTCATTAAATAGCAACTAAATAACAATAACTATGTATTAGGTAATATCCAAAGCTTTACATCACCCACCGATATGCGTATAAAAAGTAAAAAAGTATTTTGGTTCTTAATCAGTTGAGCTTTTCTGAAAATATAAAATGGGAGACATTAAATAAAACCAGTTTTTTTAATTATGATCCAAAAGCAAACTCTGACTAATCGTTATTTAGGAATCCCATTTTGTTTAGTGTTAATTTGGGGTATGTGCAATGATATTAGTTAAGTGAATGCCCAATAAACAATGCAGTGCTATGCTTATACATTTATTGCAAACAATTCCAAAATTTAATGTAAAAATTCCACTGGCAACGGTCCCCAGCGGGCCTACTAACGCGACAACAGCTTGCCCTGAAATAGTGGACGACGGTGTGGGAGAATGTATTAGGTGTAAGGCGATGCGGGTGGTTGGTTGTGATTTCCGGAGGAAAGGCGAATGCATGAAAGACAATCGTATATTTTAATGGGGGCACCACGAAAGCTATCTTGTAGCCAGCTTGTTATACCTTCCTTACCTGTAGGTAGTAGTTGGCCAACACCGTCAATCCGACGCCCAGGCCAACGGCCAGAAGGTGGCTCAGATGCAGATTGGGCAGAGGGCGACGCTTGCGGAGCAGGAAAGCCAGCAGCGATCCTTTGCGGTCCGAGTAGGGTGGATAACGCGCTCTGCCAAGATAAATCATTTAACTGGAATTTTTATACTGGATTTTAAGAAACTTACGATGCCAACTTTTCGCCAAAGGCCGAAAGATCCTTTCCAAGGCACGACTTTTTGTGGGTGAAGGTGTCGAAGCCATACTTGCCATGATAGCTGCCCATTCCACTCATGCCCACGCCTCCGAAGGGCAGGACATCAACTATGGAGGAGAGTAAATAACTTGTTAGGAATCTTTTAAAGGCTAAGACTACGTTTATACGCTTTTTTAATTTTAAAAAAATAAAGGTTAGATAAGTTTATTATTAAGATTTTGCGCATAAACGTAGTACACTTAATCCACACCAAAAGCTAATTTATTTCTATCACCAAAACTTATAGCACTCTTAAAATTGCGAATTTATAGCTAGATTTTCAACCAAGCATGTAAGTGTTAAAACAAGCCAGGAAAAATAAACATAAAATTGCATAATCCGTATCCGAAACCAAATAGAATTATAAACTTTGAATAATGTGCATAAAATTAGAGTGTTCCTTTTTGGGTCGCTGCTGTTTTCGAGTTCAAACATCGACAAGTTCTGGAAGAGTGATTTGTAATTTAAATATTGATCGGAGTGCATTACACGGACTACTAAAGTTCAATATCCATCAAGTGCATTTCTAAGTATGTATCTCAAAGGTGCCTACAGTACAGTACAATAATTGCTTAATTATAGGCATTAGCTTAGAAAAAAAATACCTCCACAGTGCATAATTGTTTCGTTGCTGCAGAATCCGCCGCTAGTGGTATTGCTTCTGAACTCTTTAACTAGCTTATTTGAGTTGGAGAACACGTAAATTACAAGTGGTTTCTCTCTAATTACGGGAAGTGGGTAGAACGGGATATAATTAGTTGAGAGACATAAACAATTGAAGTTCCACGATCATCGTTACGGGCTTCAAAAATATACATTAACTTTGTACACAAAAGAGACAAACAAAAGGGCATTCGCAGATCTGTGAGATTTTTGGAATTTTGCCTCAGATAACTGATCATTTAAATATTAAATTATTGTCAAAATAAACCAGAACCAATTCGAGTTAAAACAGATCTGCAAATATTAATGGCGTATATACAAATGAACGAAAAGTAATGTAATGATTAGTGTCAAGGGGTAGAGTTGCTAAACTGGAAATTAGAAATCACCTACAACTGGGGAGCTGCAAGGGAATAAATAACAATCACCGTCACCAGGGCAATATACAAAATAATTATACAGAGCTCTTAGCAGGCTATAAAATACAGGTGTTTCAAATTCAGGGCAGGATTGGAGGAGGAGGCGAGACCAAAACCGTAGAGGAGAGGCAAGCAACGGTCTAACTTGTCGCAGTTACCAGCTTTTTACTTCTAACCGTAGCCATTGCATTCAATATTCAACATCCACATTCCATTAGAACCTTGACTGGATTTCATACAGGTTGGCCGAGTCGGCTCTCTTACCAGCATAGTGCATTATCGTATCGTTCACGCACAGTCCGCCCGACTGGGTGCCGTTTATGAACAGATTCTGAACCTCTGTTTCCAACGTGAAAATATACAGGACAAGTGGACTCTCTCTAAGAGAAAAACATTACGAATCGGACATTGGTTGTTGTAGTTGGTTCTGTTTCTTAATGTTGTGGTATGAGGTGATGCGGGCGTAAAAAAGGGGCAAGACAATGGACAGCCGGATGGGCAGGGATCGGGTCACAAAACGCATACCTGGCATTGATGAACTTGATGGCATCATAGGCACTCTCCACGTTGAAGATGGGCAAGATGGGGCCGAAGATTTCCTCCTCCATAATGGGATCGTTGACCTTTACGTCGACCAAGATGGTGGGCTCGATGTAACGTTCGCTGACATCGTACTTGCCACCAACGGCCACGCGTCCGGACTTCATCAGACCAAGCAGGCGCCTAAAGAGGCATATTTTGTTTAAAAATCCTCTAAGGAATTAAAAAGGACTTACTGGAAATTGTTGGCATTGATAACGCGACTTAGATCCGGACTGCTCTGGATATTCTCGCCGTACCACTCCTTCAGCACTTCCTTGGCTTCAGCAATGAACTTCTCCTGCACCTCCTTGGAGCAGAGAATGTAGTCGGGAGCAATACAGGTCTGTCCACAGTTGATCAGCTTTCCCCACAGAATGCGCTTTACGGCTGTACGCAGCTCCACCGACTTGTCAATGTAGCAGGGACTGAAACGAATCGTTAAAATTAGTATTTAAACACAGGTAATAGATTCTGAGAGCCCACCTCTTGCCACCCAGCTCCAGAGTTGTGGGCGTGAGGTGTTTGTTGGCCGCGGCATGGATGATCTTTCCCACGCGAGTGGATCCCGTGTAGAAGATGTAGTCGAACCGTTGGTTGAGCAGCTCAGCGGTCTCAGTGGGTCCACCGCAGACAACTGGATAGCAGTCCTGAAAAAAAAGGCAAAGTCGTTTGTCAAAAAGCGCACTTACAGGCTAACTAACAATGCCTAATGGGACATTACTTGTTGCCATCTAATAATACGCTAAACAAGCTGACTAATAGTTGAAACTTATTTGATTCATTTGGTTTTTGAAGACTTGTTTGACTATAAATAACCATAAACAGCTTTTGTATGGCTTAAGTAGCACTATTTGCATAAAAAGCGAATGCAAAATTGAAAAATGCAAATAAATATGCATGCGGGTAGAGAAAAACGACTCTTGACAGAATGATATAGCTTAATTTTAAAACTAAAGGCGAAGACTTAACGAAAACGAAGATGTTTGTTTAAGGAATTCGGTTCCTTTTGGGGGAAACCAGACGTACATTGTCCAAATATTTCGGAATGACATCGGCAATGAATTTGGCGCAGTTGGCGGCAATCTCGCTGGGCTTGATGACGACACAGTTGCCAGCGGCAATGGCGGAGGCCACGGGCACCAGCAGAAGCTGCAGCGGATAGTTCCAGGCGCCAATCACCAGGACCACTCCAAAGGGATCATTGTAGATCTGGACATCGTCCATCAGATTCACAAACGACTTCGAAGGCTGTTGGAGGCAATAATTAAAATATTAATCATAAATATGCGAATATGTAAGGTGGGGGCTACTACATACCTTCTCTGCCTTGACCCAGTCGTTCAGGTGGAATAGAATGTGCTTGATGTCGTTCTTCATGAACTCGGTCTCCACGATGAGGGACTCCTGCTTGGGTCGCCGCAGATCCGCCTCCAGGGCACTGATGATCTCGCTCTCGTGCTCCTCATAGCAACGCAGAAGATTCTCCAGCTGCTTGCGTCTGCCAAAAGTCAAGAGGGAGAAAAGCGAAAACCAAAAAATAATTAATGGATAATCGGTGATTATTATCGCGGTGATGATGGGACAAGTTCCGCGGTAGGAGCGCGAAACAAAGACCAAAACAAAATCAATACTAATCACAATGCACGAGGGGCTCTTGGGGAAGGTCAATGCTAGCTTTACGGCCGGTTATGAGATATTCTACGATCTTGTGTATTCTATTCGGGTGACTCAACAACTGGAGCTGGAGCTGGAGACTCTGGCCAATTACAGCCGTGGAAACTGGCTTGACAACTAGGCGCTCTGATCTACTTTGACCCACCGATCTGGCCGGAGATAATGCTAATGTTCGACAGGGGGGGAGGCCAGACGGGGTGGCCGAGTAGTCAAGGTGAACTGCGGCGGTGGCGGGTTAATAGCCCCTCTGAAGTGCACTTGCAATTGAATTGAATTATTTGTTTATGACAAACATAAAGCCATAAGCATTATGCCAATCGCTGTGAATATAAATAAAGCAATTAGCCGCGCACTGGCCAAAATCCAGTGACTTGGATTGGAGCTCGGACTCGGAGAACCGACCAAAATGTATTTAAATATAATCAAAGCTTCTCCTCGGTCTCCTCGCAGAAGAAGTCGAGTTGCTAGAGGCGAAATAGTCAGTCATAGAACGTGTTCATTTGTTCGGAACTATTTGAAAGATCATGGAATTAAACGGCATTAGCCTTGGGCTAAGATTCTTCCGCACTTCCGTTTCACACTTCGCACTCAAAACTATCGTTAGCTATATATCGCCTGTTTTTTTTTTGTCTATTTTTCTCTACAGATATACATACATATATCTTGAGATACATTTTTTGTGTATTATTAACATATCCATAAAGGTATTTGTGAGATGGTGCGTGTGTTGGGAATAGTTTATTGTCTGATGACTACCATTTGGAGTGTTGTTGGTGGGGAAATAGCAATTATTCCGCCTGCATGTTGTCAGAAACGAATTCAGTCCGACCTAGCCAGTCTAATTGCATTCCCAGTACACCCGTTTGTGCACCCTAGGTTCAAAGATCCCCAAGTTCATGGAGAAAATGAATATACATACATGACATATCGTATAGAGAGTAGACTTTGTCTTCCTATCAGCTGATAAGTCGAATCCTACAGAAACTCTACTACCCTATCTCTGGGAGTTTCTTATCTCTGGGAGTGAAAAGTCAAGGAGGGTGGGGCAGAGTTCAAAGCTTTGTTTTTGTATTTTTGAAAAGTTGCAACTTGTTGCCGAAATGGAATTATAAAAACGAAGAGGTACTGACATTACTGACCCATTTTCAGGCCCAGACTTTATTGCGGTGACTGCTCTGCCGTAACGGAGTGGTAATAACCACATGTAGTAATACCAGAAAGTGGTTACAGTGGATAATACCTCTGCTGAAGAGGTAGTTCATGTATGTATGTCCTATGACCCAAACCAAGGTTCCCTTGAGCTTTGATGACTAACCAACTTCTCGAATACCAACCAACCTGGGGCTGTGGAGTTTTCTTCCAAAAATGACGTTTAAACTTACCGAAAGCTGACGCTCCTGGTTTTGCCACTGGAAAAGGCAAGGCGGGCGCGTTGCAACGTCTGATCGTAGTTGTTGTTGTTCATGGTGTTGTAATTGTTCATGTTGTTGTTGTTGTTGGAAGTGGAGAAGATAGGTGGAGCAGGTGGTTTTTCACATTCGCAATAACCGAGTGGCGGCGGACAACATGCAACACGCATACATAGGGAGGATAACGACGGAACGGCGAAAACAAAAAATTCAAATAAAAATTAAATCAAACAAAATAAGGCGCTTAATGTTCGTTACGTGCACGGTACATTTTTTATATAAATGTGTATGTTTATCTGTTTGTATGTCTGTGCAAGTTAATAATCGTTACACATCTGTTTTTTATATATGTATCTTTTTTTGTATATATTTATTTTTGTCGAGTTTGCCGTGCACTTGCAATTTGCCTCATTGGTCACTCACATCGTCGAAATTGGCCATTCTGTCTGTTTCGGATTCGCCTTCGGATTGGAGCGGCTGCTTCTCTGGGAGATGTTGTGATGCGGATGCTGGAATTCCGGTGGAGGCTTCTGCGTTTTCAGTTTCTGCTTCTGCGGAGGGGCGGAGGGGGGGGGAGTTAAACCGAAGAAATGTGTGAAAGAGAAGTGGACAGACACTCAGAAACGTAAACAACACTGGCACATTCACTTTCGTTTGGTTCGCATCTATGGTTTTGTTTTGTTTTGTTTTTTGTTCAAATTATATACAATAAACGTATGTACTTTTTGCGCTGGCGACACATGCAGGCCGGGTGCGATTTCGGGGGATTCGGAGGGCTTGACTTGCTATCAACTGGCAGGATTACGGCGCATGCGGAATTCAACCGGAATTCCAACCGTTCGCCGAGACAACTGAGAGCAGATTAAAGCCAATCTCGGACGCAAAAGCCGAGTTCCCAGTTCAGCTTGCAACTCGGAAAAAAACCAGTAACGTCAATACTAATTATGACGCAGCGAGGTCTGTATGCCCTTCCTAAGAGATTGCCAGATATATGCTAGTCTAGGGCTTTTCTATTAGAGAAAAAACAGTACATCTAAATAAAGGGATCTTCTTTATCTTAGACTTGTTTAATTTTGTAATCCTAAATGCATTTTTAAATTTTTCAAAATATTAAAAGACTCTTTCGAAGTGTATATCAAGAAAAAGCTTTTGGCATGTGTGACCAGTAGGCATCAAATTTCATTTATTATACGGTCGTACTGCAAGTGTTGGCTAACGTGGATGGCAGTTCACGTAGGTGACGATCGCTCTGTTTAGTGAGCATTTGAATAGCGGTAATTTAATTCTCATTTAAAAATGCGTTGCATTGAAAATAACTTTTATTTATAGCACTCTTTTCAATCTAAGTCTTATGGCACAATATTCAATAAAAGTTATAACAAAATCAAGAAACAGAACCATTCGAATTTAATTGCACCAGAAATTAGCATATCCAGCATTTCGCAAAAATACAGCTGGCCGTGCATTTGGTTTAATTTTAATCACTGGATAAACACACACCTTTTCGAACAGAAATGCCGGCTGCTACTAAACGAATGCCTGCTCTACAACCGAAAATATACCCAGCAATGGGTGTTGGCATTCATTATCAGCAAGAGTTGTATATACTTTATATGTATTGTGCCCCATATATACAAATATTACGGTAGGGGAAAGTCGAGCGTGTCGTTCTGATAACAAATCTGTCTGTTTGGACTCTAGCTAATACATTTTAAAGCTATATTCGGGCTTAATCTATGCGTGCGTATCAATATACAGGCAGCGGATCAAAGTATTTTCCGTTATTTAAAGATAATTATAATGTTTAAATATCTGCGTCTATATACTGCAATTTTTCCTCGCAATAATGCTTGGTAACGATGAATTCGATTAAACAATTGGCTAAAAAACTGTCTTTGAATAGTCATCATGATGTGACAAACTAGGATGCAAAGTTTTTCTAAGATTACCCAAATTCTAGGCAATAATTTGGAACCTAATTGGGTTTGGACTTACCAATATTGATGACCGTTATTGCCTGGTCTCCTGAAGCTAAAATAGGAAACCCATTAAAAATGCGATTCCATTTTAATAGAGAGATTTCTTACCATTTTCATCGGGACTGGGTTTTATGGAATTGTCTCCCATTATTGAAAATTTCATGTGAATTTTATGAGTATTAACACAATCGTAAGGACACTTTTAATTGCTCAGAAATCTGCTGTATTTCCCATGCAAAATAGGTGCAAAATACTCAACTAAAATGACAGTAAATTAAAATGTCAAAAGAATTTCAAAATCAAGTATGCAGGGTTATTTAAGCAAATTGAAATCGGTAGAAACCAATTAAAGTTAACAAGAAAATTGTCCCCATGGGAAAATCAATCAAGTCCAACACGTGCAGGACACATTCCTTTCGGCCGGAAAAGGACACTTTTTCAAGCACTATTTTGTGTGACAAATCCGAGATAGATAATCCTTATCGAGAGTGAAAAAATCGAGCTCCAAGCTATAGATTGATTAACTCTCCATAATCAGTTTCAAGTTCAAACGACCGACACACTCCGAGTCGCACTAATATGGCAGTTGACAGTACGCTTGCCCAACTGCCGATGGAATTAATTAATGCCAGGCATGGCACTTAGCACTGTGGCTTTCGGCGGGGTTGGGGATCACGTTTCTGTATGACAACACACTGTTTATTTCACGGCACTCCAGTACACACACAGTCCAGTAAGTTGGCTTTTGTTTTGTTTTTAGTTCAGCCACCGATTTCATTTCACTTTCATTACAGCATCTGCAGGGTATTGGCTAATCTCTAGTGTTTCGCTAGAGATTAAATATACAAGGTATGGTGTCCCCGGTGGGCGGTGTTCCGTACTTGCGATCCAGCACAAATCTATTTAAATCTGCGCGCACGATAACAACCTGAAGCAAAGGCCAATTGCCAACTGAATTGAACGGTGGCCACTTGGTCACTGACCAGCGACAGGTGGAATTGGGTATCGGGCGTGTGTGTGGTGGGGTATCACCAATCCGGACCGATGCATTCGGCTTACATCGGTTCGGGCCGGGTTTAATTACACTCCTTCCCGGCCCAATTTGTATGCGCAACTTGTCGCCGCCCGCAACTCGAAAACCAAAGCTGCTCGAAATCGAATTGAAATGTACGAAGTGCGGCACGCACTGGACACTCGAATGGACTCGGTTTGGGTCTCTATTTCAGAGACTCGGATTCGGATTCGGATTCAGATTCACCTGACGCTAGCGAGCTTGAAACACGTCTGGGCCGGGCTAATCAGACGAGGTGGACCGTACCCGCTGCTTTTCCAGTTTTCTTTTCGGTCTTGTTTACACACAACTATTCGAATTTGAATTTTTTATGATTTAGACACCGCACAGATCTTCTCTTGATTTATCAGATGCACATACGCATTCTTAGCCCAAAGACAAAAGATAATGAAGATTGATTAAGCCGCGTTTCGACTAATACCCGAAATACAGTGCAACTTCTGTAACTTGAACCTCTGTTTCGAAAACAAGTATGGGAAGTAGCGATTACCTCAACTGGTAGTTGAGAAATGAGGCTGGACGGCATAGGTTTCTGGTTTTACTAAAATTATAGGATCAACATTTTTCGAAAAGTGCGGAGAGCAATTATTACATAAACTTTATAAAGCTATTAAACTATTAGCATAGTTTATGACCACTAGTTTATGTAGCGCCTATATGGCGCGGTTTCTGATCCAAATGAGAACCCTATGAGCCAGCTTGAAGATCGGGATGTACTTACGTTATTGTTTGCTATTTTGGGTAATCATTTGCTGCCCAGAGAACAGCTGTTGGTGGAAAGGCAAACGAGTAATGTGTCGGCAAACAAATAACCGGTTATTGAAAAGTTTATTTCTATTTCGGTTTTATTTAACATCACATCGAACCCTGACCATGAAAGTCCCACTCATCTTCTGCTTGATAAAAAATCAAATACACAATTGCAAGGTAAATGGATGGATATAATCAGGCGCCCCCAGAGTCCAGATGCTAGTACTTTAATTATAAGTCTTAGCTACTGCCGTTTAAAATTAGTCTATAATGGGATTGGACTTTGGCTTAATTTATTTTTTATTTGCTCAACTTTATGATCAGCAATTGTAAAAGTGTATTGAAATGGAAGTATTTGCTCATAAAGCAACCGCAATTTTTGTAGTCACGCAACGGGGTGTGAGACCCGAATTTTAGCCCCCCCTTTTTTCGAATTTACTCGAACACTATCCGGCATTGTCTCCATAAAAGTCTCATTATGACGAAGTACTTAGCGATTCCTTTTGTCATTCTAATGGTTTGCTTGGTTTTTTGGACAAAGCCCCGATCTACGCCTTGCTTTTTGTTTGAAAATAGAATATTCGTATAACCTTGACCCATGTTCCGGGTGGTACGTGACGGCATCTGGCACCTATTTAATGGCCGAATGAAGCTGGAGAAATGCAATTAAAGGCATGCAAATGGCTCGACACCTATAAAAAAAAAACTGTGCTATATTCTTATATACCTGAGGAAACTGTAAACAACTTTTAAGCTAATAAAAGCAAAAATAAGATTGTACTTTGAGTCTAAAAATTGTTTGTAAACTTGTTTGCTTAAAATATAGATCACAAGTTTTTGGCGCCAAACATTTTTAAAAGAATAAAGTCTACTTTTAGGGTCGCAACAAAAATGAAAGCTTTAGCTATACCCTAACTGAAGGTATATTAAATATAAGTGAATCATTAAGGAATACCTTGTCCCCACCATGTTTATAAAAGACAACCATTTCCACAATTATTAGTGTATAATTTATTATTAAATATGTTATAAAATTTGTTTATCGTATAAAATATACTCTTACTCTTGTCTCAAGTCCACATCTATGTATGTATATATATATTTGGGTATATAAATATGTATGTGTATGCATGTATATAGAAAAATTACAATCCATGTATCATAGTACCCATGGCTTGTGTTTTGTTTCCGTTTCCGTTTTTTGCATTTCACTATTAGACAATTACAATTTTTAACTGCAACTCGTTATTGAATTTGTCGCTTGATTCTGGTAGATTTCATTTTAGATTTTCGCAATATGACTTATTTATTTTGCTTACTAGTGGGTGTACCTAGTACCCGCACTTCTATATATGTATGGATGTTGTATGCTGCTGAGTGGGAGGATGAGAATGTTATGAGAAAATTTTGCGTATGCCAAATGTGGTCTTTATCTCCCTCTATCGCGAAGCAAATCATATTTCAAGATTAAGAAAGGTAAGGAGGGAACTTTTATTAGTTTTTTTTTTTTGTTTAATTTTTATTTATTTTTTTTTTTGGTAATTTTCCATTTGCTCTAGATAGTATATTGGGGTTAGTCTATGATTAAGTATCTATGTATGTATGTATGTATGCGCCTATGCGAATAGATGTGGTTAGTATGTCTGCTGCAGCTGCTTCGTAACTATTTTGATGAATCGGAGGGCGGCGGCACGCCCCCTCCTCTTCCTATTCGAATATATGCAGTATTATCTATGCGAAACCAGTAGCTGGCCTATTATATAATAATTCTTATGCTGCTCGCTCGTTTGATCGTAGATTTATGATTTAACTTAAACTGTGTTGTGTCTGTGTCGTCTGATCTGGCTTAAAATTTAAATTTGTACTCGTTTTGTACTCAATTGCTCCATAATTATTACATATGTTAGTATGTGTATGTATGTATGCATGTATGTATGAATGTAGGTATGTATGCGTATGCTTAAAGATGATTCCAAATGATTTTCCAAATATATGTGAAATATTTTCGAACTTCCGTTACAATACAATCGGGATTTCATTTTGGATTTTGAATTCGTTTTTGAAAACTTAATTGCTAAATGATTTTTGACAAAATATATGTATAATATGTATGTATGTAAGTATGTATGTTTAATCTTTAAGTTTTGTTTGCATTTTTTAAATAGTAATGAAATCATTTCTCTGTGCTTACTGAGAATTGCTTTTGTCATTAAAAGTTTTACTCAAAATTGTATTTTGATATAAGAGTTCATTTCTTGTTTTTTGCATCATTTTTGTTTTGTTTTATTATCGTCAATCGATTTGTTTATAAAAAGTTACCTTATTAAATATGTACGTTTTAAATGTTCGTTATAATTTTAGAAAATCATTACCACGATGCTTCGCTTGGGTTGCACAAAGGATCTCTCTCAAAGGATTTTTTAGTCATTTAGGTTTACCTCATCTTATTTATCTGATTTTTTTGCATTTTCATCTCCTTACTTACTAAATACGTAAATCGAAAAAAATTTGAATACCTGATTTAAGTTTTGGATTCGTTTAGTGTTTATTTAGTAGCTACTTGTATATGAGCATTTTGTTTGCTTTAGAATTAATTGTAGGTGTTGGGCAACGTGTTTTTTTCTTTTTTGGAATATTCTGTTTATTTGAAAAAATACCTGCTTGCATTTAATTAAGTATTTTTGGTATGTATCTTTTGTAAAATTGTTTAATTAACTATTTATGCGTAGGCTTTCTTTGAATGTGTGAGTGTATTGTGTTTTTGTTTTTGTTTTTTAATCATGTAAGTTTTGTTACCATTTTCGTTTTGATTCTTAAGCCTTTGGCAAATTGTTCAATATTCTCATGACTTTTAGTAATTGTTGTGTTTAACATACTTTAGTATTCTATAGATATATATGTTTAAATGCTTTTTATTTTGAATTATGGCATTCGGTATTCGCTTAAGTTTAACCATTAATTGTCCTCCCTTTTTATTTATTTTTTTAGTAATATATATAATTTTTTTTTTTTTTACTTTTGTTTTATTTTTTACACAATTTCTAAACTGTGGCTTTTAGAAAACGGCGCTCATTTGTAATGATATATAAGTATTAGTTCTTTAGTATTGGTTTCTAGTAAATCTCACACAATTATAAAATATGGCATTCTCTCAGATGTCGCTAGGCCCGATATATATACGATATATATATATATGATATATATATATACATATGTGGGATGCTCTGCGTGCGCTGGTGTGTGCGAGTGGTTTTTTTGAATAATGATTCGATCTGGATCACAAGAAATGAACGGCGCTTCAAGGTGTGTACGATTGGATAAAATGAGGTTACGAGTATGTTATGTTATGGCGATTCGTGTGGGGCCCCAGGGGGTTGGCTAAACTAAGGTGTAAAATAATTACGATATCTACTCTAAATAGCTCTAGTTATGTAGTAGGTTTCCCCTTGCCCTTCTGCTTTCTGCTTCTGCTTCTGGTGTATATTACTTGTATATAATATATTGTATATGTTTTTTGTTGCCAAAACTGCTCTCGTAGAGTCAGTGGCATTTTTGCATCATTTTTTTAAAGGTTAGTTGTTTTTTTTTTTTTAAGTTTTTAGTTTTTAGTGATTTTAGGGTTTTTGTTTTGCGCATTTTATGCAATGTTGCTTTTACGTGGAAGGAGTGTTAGCTATCTCTCACACATCTTTCTATATCTCTCAGTTGAAGCCGGGTTTTTTGAGTTATATTTAGTTTTTTTTTTTGTTTGTTTTTTGTTTTGAACACAAATACAAATATAAAGAATAGAACGTTTCAAAACAGTAAGAACATAACATAAACTAAGTAACTATGTTGGCTAATACATTTTAAGCGAACTTCACGCACTCCAGCATTGCGATTAACGCCTGGTCTTTAGCCTAGTATCGGTTCTAGGTTCTAGTCGGTTCTCTATATCTGTGTCTATATTTGCTATTAAAATCGTTCCACTCCTAGACAGATAATTCAGCTAATTCATGCGTTTTGCCCATGATTTTCATTAAGTTTCAATATTTCTTTATGTTTTGTTTCGTTTTGCGAGGAACATGTCACCTAAATGTGTATTCAATACGCCCATACCATATATTGCTCTGGATTTTCCATACTTTTTTTTCACTATGCCACGCCCGCTAAGTCTACTAAATGCTAATGAACACATTGAGTCAAAAATTATGATAATTTTTTCGTTTTGTTTTTTAACCATCCCAAACTCTTCACTTTTAGCTAACCCCTCCTTTCAACCTGCCTGCCATGTATCCTGTGGGAAATTCATTTTACAATTATTTTTTCTTGTTTTTTTTTAACTTAACGATGACACAAAAAAAAATCCCTGTGATGCATGCAAGTCGCTTCGATGAATGAATGATGAATTAATGTATGTATGTGCGAATGAAAATGTCAGTTAAACTCGGTTTTCAGCTATGCTCATGATGATTCATGACTGGATGATCGGATCGCTATATGATATCTGTACCTCTATCTCTATCTGTATGTATGTAAGTATTTTATGTTTAAGCTATGTTAAGTTACTTTACGTTATCAATGTCATTGCAATTTGAGTGTTGGATTTTTGTTTCACTTTTTTTGTTTTTGGCCTCACCATATATGGTTCTTTAGTTGGCTCCGAAATTGCGGTTTAGTTAATCAGTCTTTGTTAAAAGTTCAACCAAAAGTCAGCGGGTTTCATCAATATTTTTATGTTTGTTTTGCTTTGTTTACTTTTACAAAGTTCGTGTACTCACTTGCTCAGTCTCAATTATAAGAAATAATTATAAAATATTTTGCAAAAAAAATTAACTTAGTCATTAACGTCAAACAGAGTTAAAACAAACGAACTAAAATAATAATACAATCATTGATACCATCCTATCCCACAGAAGTTCTGCAAATAATTTTTAGTAACTCTGGTCGAATTAAAATCGATCCTCTCTAGTACTTTCTCTGCTTTCTCCGCTAAGCAACCCCATAAAAAACGAAATCCCCACTTCCATTACTCTCTCCCTAGATCAGCTAGCAAACTGCCTTTCAGTCTAACTAACAGGTAAGAATATTTTCATCTAGTAAATGGTTGAGTTTCCCTATTTGCGTTTATCTTTTACTAGGTTCGTTAACTCTACTGTATGCTCTCGGATCCTATGCCTATTATATCTCCTAAGTATATCCTACTCAACCACACGTTCCCACTCCGTAGTCCATCCTTATACGTTCTTGGTTTTAGTTCTAGTTGGTTGTTTTGGGCTTGTATATTCGCTAGATTATGCATATGTGTATAGATATAGATATCTATTGATACATATGTGTAATTCGTATTGTATTGTAAATTACCAAATTGTAACCGTAACTCTTAAGCAATATCGAGGTAATCGTTGTAGCACTTATGCTAAAAATTTTCGCTAATTTCCGTACACACTCAATTCAGATTTTCCCTTATTTGTGTCTCCTCCTGCATCTGCATCGCCTCCTGTTTCCATCTCTTATTTGGATATCGTCTACGCTAATGCTTAGCTCTTGTAAATGGTCTAAAAAAGATCGGCACTCGCTAATTTAGAATACGTGCACAAACCGCTTGTAAGGGTTAGACCCTTCTTTGGAGTCTGGCGATAGTTCAATGAGGAAAACGATCCGACCGTCTGGCATGAGGGCCACGTCGCAGGTGCGATCCTTCTCGTCCAAGGTGGGTGGCATCAGCGGGTTTATGGAGGGCCTAACCTCGATCTAGAAAACCAAAGTGTTAGAAACGTAAAAACCACAATGTCCGGCACACACTTACATCCCACATAAAGTCCAGGTTCTGGTTGAAGACCAGGATGCGTTGATTCTTGGAATCGGCCACAATAATGCGACCTTCGTCGTCACAGCACAGGCCCGAGGGCCGATTGAACTCATGGAAGCCCGAGCCCTCGTGTCCCTTCACGGACAGTATCTAAAATCAAATGAAAGTCCATTAGCACCTGCTCATCTCCTCCGAATAGAGTCACTACTTACGTCATTGATGTCGGGATCGATCAGGTAGAGGCAGTGGTTGTCAAAGTCGGAAACTATAATGTTGCCCGTGGGTGTGTAGCAAACGCCTCGTGGCGAGGCGATGCCCTTAGTCTGCCCATGGTTGTCGAACACAATTTGGCGGATGAACCGGCCCTCGGAGTCAAACTGCTGGATGCGATGGTTGCGCGAATCTGTGACTACGATCTGACGGCGTGAGTTCACAGCCACGTCCCACGGATACTGGAACTGGCCGTACTCCTTGCCATAGCTGCCGAATTTGAGCAGGAAGACGCCGCTGGCAGTAAAGATCTGCACCCGGTGGTTGTCCTTGTCCACAACAATGATGCGGTTGTCCACGTCCACACAGATTCCAGCGGGCAAATCGAACTCGCCGTTGCCCACGCCTTTCCGGCCAAACTTGAACTTCAGAGATCCATCGGGATTGAACACTTGGACACGATTGTTGCGGCGATCCGACACCAGCACATGGCCCATTTTGTCAACGCACAAGCCCCACGGCCGGCTCACCTGCCCATCCTCGTGTCCTTCGGTGGCAAAGGATAGGGAGAGAGCGTTTGAGTTCCGCACCTTGACTAGATCCATGCATCCCGGAATGGCCTGCGTGGTTCGGGGCGCACTGAAGTGTAGTCCCGGTGAGCTGCGTAGTCCATTCAGTTCCCAGTCTAGAGCGGCATTTGACATTCCACAGGCGCTTCCGCCGCGGGGCTGCATGATGGGCGATGGGATGCGGAAACTGTTGTCCCGAAGCAATGGACGGCGCACGGTTGAGGAAGCCACGTTCAGAGGATTGGTAGCCATGTTTAGGCCAAAGGCCATGTCCATACCATTCGTGACTCCAACGCCGCCGACTCCCACACCAGCGCCCACGCCAGTCACGCCAACGCCCACAGAAGTGGTGGGCACTCCACTCACGCTCGAGACACTCGGCACAATGCCATTGGTGCTGGATACGATGGGCATGTTTTTATCGTCCACCAGGATCACGCCGCCTTGGTTACGGATATCCTGCAACAGGCTGTAGTCGGGCGGGGCAAAGGCAAAGACCTCCTGCTTGGGCTGCAGATCCTTGTAGATGCCCGCGAACTGTTCCATTTGTCTCTGGCCGTTGGTCAGTTTCATGGCGATTTCGATTTGGTCCAAGTTGCAAGCATTGTCAGCCACCTTGCTCAGCATGTCGGAGGTTTCGGAGAGTCCGGCTAGGGCAGACTTCAGGCCTGCCATCTGGTCGTGCAGGATGGCCAGTCGGCGCTGGCGCAGCTTTTCCACAAAGTCGAGAAGGAAGCGTTCGCGGTCCTCGATGGCGATGATGAACTGGCGGAAAGCCTTGCGGATATTGTCACTCAATTCGCTGCAGTTGCGCTCGATCAGCCGGATGAAGGCCAGCGCCTTGTCGATGCTGCTCTTGATGCAGCGTGTGCCCACCTGACTGCTCTCGATGGCGGTCTCTAGCTTCTCCTTGGAGCCGACCATAAAGCTCTGGATGGAGGCGTAGCTATGCTCCTTGTGCTCGTGCAGCGTGCAGCATTGGCACACCAGCTTCCGGCAGTAGTCGCACACATAGCGCAGCATCTCGTTGTGAATGTCGCAGATGAAGTTTCCGCTGGGCGGGGTATGTGCGTTGGCCGAGCTGCCGCCCGTCGGAGAGGCTCCTATGGGCGTGGGCAGGGACACGATAGAGTGGTTGGAGGACAGTGGACTGTTGCGGTGCTCCCTCAAGCAGTCGTTGCACATGAACTCGTTGCACTCCAGGCAGCGTATCGAGGCGCTCACCTCGCACCAGCCGCAGCTAATGCTCGAGTTGTTGGAGGACTCCGGCGACATTTTGGGATTGCTACGCGCCCCGCTACCAATGGGTCCGATGCTGAAGTCGCCGTGTGTGTCAAGTCCGCCCAAGAAGTTGTTTATGAAGAAGTCGGTTCGTGGCGGAGAGCTGAAGTAGGAAAAGGTCAATTAATGTTACTTCTCTTAATGAAAATCGTAATCTTAATCTTACCTCTGACCCATGTTGGGTAATAGACCCACGTTGAGGTCCCAGGAGGGGAAGCTCTCGAGGATGCCGGCTAGTAGCCGTTCGGAGGAGTTGCTGGCATTGCTGCTAATACTGCCCCCGCCACTGCCGTTGGCCGTGGAGGAGCCGTTGGCCACGCCGTTGGCGCTCGGCGCATTGCTGCTGGCCATTTGTTGCGGAACCGAATTGTTTGACAAGAGTTCCATCATAAGAGTGGTGAGATCACGTTGCTATAGCACAAGGCGGCAGTCGATGGAGTGGCGATAGTTCGCTGTAAATATCTTCGCGATTTTAATTAATTTTTTTAATAACTTTTAAAGGTTGAGGGTATTGTTTCAAGAGATAATATTGTGTTGAATGTTATATTTTATATTTTTGTTTTGAAATGAAGACTGCGTTTGGAACGCGCGCGACGTTGTCGGTTGCCGAGGGGTGACAGCTAACTAAATTGGCTAGGAAAAGGGACGTGCATTAAGTAGTCCGAAGAAGTCAGATGCACAGCTGCAGCTAAACGTCTTTGGTCTAGGTTTAGGTAGCAAGAAAACGAAAATCCCCGCCCGCCATCCTGTGCCTGATCCCCGACCCTTGATCCTTTCCGCAGGCCCTTCCCGTGCCCGTGTCCCGAATTCGTGCAACGCAACCCGAGAAGCAGCTGTGTGGCGCGAGGAGCAGCAGGTCAGATTTGTGTGTGTATCCTTGAGTCGTCCGTAATCTGTGCAAGATGTAAGATGCATTCAAGCCATTGTCTAGTATCCTGAATCCAGGAAATTCAGAATTGGCCACGCATTTACAAATTTATGGACCAAAATGGCGAGTATTTCGCGCGCAATTCGGCGAACTGTACTCTATTTTTGGTAACCCAAATTCTAGAGTAAGGAAAACGCTCCCCCTTTCGGAACTTGAGGAAAGACAAACGAAACGGAATGGATTAGAGAAACCACCCTCTTGGGGGGCCACTCTACCGCCACCCCCACTCCAATCCACCGCTCAACCTTATCGCGTAGTTATAGCATTTTCCTGCTCCGCCTGCCACCCACATCCACTACCCCCGGGTCGCAGTGCGCAAGCGACTTTTCCGGCTTGGGGTGAGCCATGGAGGGTGGCGGAAAGCCGAAAGGAAAACGTAATGAAACAACAGACTGGTTGCCATCTTCAAGTTGAAACCGAGCGACCGACTTTCATCCCTTCGCAGGAGCCGGACTTCGAAGCGGGTTCCTCTACACTTTGCCAAAATCATGGCGACCGAAAAGGTTTTCCGTCACTCGGATTTTGGGTAATTCAAGTTAATTTATAGCATAACTTCTGGGGTGGCCCTGGACCCGGGACCGAACCAAGGTAAAGGGTTAGCGATTGGGGTCTGAGGGAGGGCCGGTATTTTTAAGGTTTCTCCGGGCAAGAAATGGTAATTTCGTCCTTTCAGTGGATGTGGAAGACTGGATTCTTCGCACTTTTGGGATGGGAAATCAAAAAATATTAGGGATAATATTAAAAATATTTTATGAGACGGAAGGGGATGATTATGGACATAAAAGTTATCCTGAACTTTCGACCTTTGTATTCCTAAAGGAAACAATGAAAGTCGATCGAAGGATTTGGGTGTAGACAACTGTTGTTATAGGAGATCAAAATATGGACCCTCTGGACGGGATTGGAAAAGAGTATCCTAATGAGTAGGGTGGATTTTCGAAGAGTCCTGAAGAAATCCTGATGAAATCAATTTATGAAAGTAGCTTTGATCCCCTGTTCCGGCGAAATGGTATGCAATACTGGGATATTTTCGAGACGTGTAGACAGAAAAAACAAAAACAAGGACGAAAAGGACGAGGAAGTGGCAGAAGTGAAGCAAAAGAAGAAGCAGGGCAGGACAAAGAGGTGGAGGCAGCGGCGAAACTACCCTTGTCACCCTTGAATGTTTTCCATTGAAACGGGTCTGTCTCCGAGTCGCAGGACGTGGAAAAAACACGACCAAGAAGTTAAAGTCCTTTCACACACATACACAGGCAGAAATCTACAAACACACCACCACCACCACCGGCAGCAATGTGGCAGTGTAGCAGTGTGGGTTCTGTGTACGTGCAACGAGACTACGACGCAAAAACATTGGGGGATGAGGACGAGGGTTGTATTTACACAAGTTTCTCTACATGTCCGTATGTAGGTGGTATCTGCGCCGCAAAACGAGAATTGGCGTTTGTGTGTGTATTTTTGAAAAGCGGAAAAGTTGAGAGAAATCTCGAACATCTTCGCTGCTCCTTCCCACTTGACACAAAGCTAAAATCAATATTTATATACGCTGCAATCTAAAAAGTTTATTTATCATTTTCTGCTGATTGTTGCAACGCCCCATCTCGCTCTATTCCCGACCACATTAGGCCACCATCCACATCGTCTCCTTCCTACCCGCCGTACACACCTTTTTCAGCAGCCTCATTCAAGCCGCATCAATGGGCCTCCTTCTAGCTCGTTGTTGTTGTTGCCGTTGTTGTTGTTGTTTTCGAAGTTCCACCCAAGCAGACCAACGCTAATTGATTCACCTTGATGCGGCAAGGCAAGCTGTATCGATTTTCGTTCGCTATTTTCCTTGGATATTCGAATTGGTTTCGTTTTGATTTGATTTTTAGCGGATTTTCGCGAGGCAAGAGTCTTATTTGGTGCCTTTCGAGAGAGATCTTATGCGTAATTTGTCCGCCCGTGCACACACATTTGCTTCAACATTCCTTTTTCCGACTGAACAAGATACATCCGAGACCGAAAACACAACATAACACTCGCTTCACTCTCTCACTGAGTGAGTGCTGTTGCTCATCTTCTATGGGGCACCAAAATATATATATATATGGAAAAAAAAAAGAAAATAAAACGAAATAAACCCAAATGTATCTCACAGATAGTTTTTTGATTTTGATGTGCGCGGGCTCGGCTCTCTCTCTGCTTTCGCTCTCTATCCTCCCATACATGTACACAGCCGTGTAGGTGTGTGGGTGAGTTGCATGCACATTTTTACCCTGCACTGCGACGGACGGACCCTCGATGAGACCGCCTCGACCGAACGGGGGAGCATTCCCGGCCCACTTACGAGTCCATCAGGAGCTGTGAGCAGTAGCTTTTGGCCAGCAAAGGCGGAATAGACAGTAATTTTAAAAACAAACTTAATCTCTAGAAATATTAAAATCCTCATGAATTTTGGGAATAAATAAAACCAAAATTACCTACACATTCATGCACTTTCGCCATTAAAATTTTGTTCATGCCGGCCACTTAGGTTTTTAGTATAATTTATAGGTACTCTCGTTGTTTTAAAACTAAATGCTACTAAAATGCAACTCGCTGATTAAAATAGGCTAATAGGAAATTATTAAATTTCCTTTAAAACTGGAAACCGATTTGATGAAATTACGGTCCTAGGGCAGACCGCTACAGCTGCTTTTTGGGCAATGGCGTCCGCTTGGAACAAACTTCCGCCGGGTGCCTTATAATTCAACCATTTTCGACACAATTTTCCAATTGCCCACTGATTCACTGGCAATCTTATTGTTTAGATTTTCCTATTTACTTACATTTTCTAACACTTTACACGGCCAGAGGGTATTCCATAGTCGCCGCAAATTATTCGATTTTCTTGTCCGTTCTTATGCGTTTATCATGTGTTTAATCGATGATCACTTGCTAGGCACTCGGCGGCAGTAGTTGGAAAGCATTTATCGTTGTAATGTTTACAAAATGTTTACATTTTCCGGGCGAATTTGGCGTGGATCTGCTGCTACTTGTGCGACTCGCCACTGGCCACCCTCGTGCTAACGAAATTATGAGCCATGAACAGTTCCCTCTTGTTGTGAGCTTGGCGCGTCTGCTGCTTCTTCCACTTTCTTTGGCGGGCGTGTTTCGTTGCAGTTTTTGGCCGTCTAACTGTTTTACAGTGCTGCTGCAGTGCGCTGAGCGCTTTTCCTATTTGGCTTAATCGAACCGATTCGAATACTGACCCACTTTGACCAGGAAGAATATTCTTTCCAACCTTCACTCATTTAAATCAAAAAACTGTTTGATGTTATGTTCATGCGCTGCCGCTGCTCTCCGCCATGCTTCTTCTTGCTGAGAGATTCTCCCCAAATAGAGAGCACCGAAGAGAGAAAAGCAAAGAGAGAGAGAGTGGCAGTGGGAGAGAGAGAGCCGTTAACGGCGCATGGCGCGAAAATGCGGATGAAATACAGTGAGTGGTGGATACAAGGGACGGATACGGAGGCAGACACCACCGGACGGCTCCGATACCGGTGGCGTGCCTTTGTTGTTGTTTTGATACCCTGACTTATGAAATTAAAGAGGTATATTATTTAAATATTTTTTCTGAAAAATACTTTTTTTTGATAACTGTTTAAATTTGTAACTTCAAAAATAAAATATTTAAAACTTAAAAAAAAAAAAACCCACTACCAATACTAAAAATACTAAAAACATGGAACTAATTTCCTTTCGTTCCACACATTTTAAAACCAAAAATCACCGTAGATGGCGCTAGAGTGCCACTATCATCTACTAGGTATCTTTTGGTCGAGCACCCAGCCATATCCTGTGGAACCCCTGCTCCGGGTCCGGTTCGTGCTCTTGGCATTTTTGTTTCAGCCGCACACACCCTTAAGGAACTTGTTTTGCACTGACAGAAATTTCGTGCATCTGCCGCCTGTGGCCTGTGTTGAAAATGCGATTGCAGCCAGCCGTGGCCGTGGATAATTTGGAACTTGAAACGGCTGCCGTGAGCTGCGGGCCGGCGGGATGGCAGGGTGCGCAGGTAAGATGCGCAGGTGCGCCGGACCTCCCGCTGGAACAGGTAAAACTACGAGGTTATCCTCAGGAAAAAAAAACAATTACGCAGGCATTTCTTTTTCGTACCGATTGTACCGTCTATTTGTATACGAAATGATTGTGAGATAGTGGTAATGGTATGTATGGAAGTGTTGGTATATGAGCTGTCTTACAAGGAAGGGCAGGCCGGAATACTGATTACATGCTACGTATGTATGCAGATCCACAGAGTTGGTCAGTCGCGTTCTTATAATACTGTAAGCTAAGCTTATGACGTACATCTAGGCGGGCGGCCTTCGTCACCCGGATTAGCCAAACTCCAGCTCCTCGATCAGCACGTTCTGAAGCTTCTGACGCACGCGCAGGCGCCGGCGCTCATCCAGCCGCTGCAGGAAGGGCATCAGGCTGAGCAGGAACATCCGATCGGCCTCGTCCTGGAGGTCTCCGCCCGTTGGCTCCGTGTTGGTGGTTGCATCAATGCTGATATACTTAAAGGGCAGTTCCGAGGACGGTGAGCGCGACTGCGAATGTGCTATCGAAGCTGGCTTGGAGTCTGGCTCACTCTTCTGGCTATTACTATGGCTTTGGCCGGATGTGTTACTCGAGTCTCTACAGCTGTTTTTGCCCTTGGCCGCCGTCTGCTCCATTTCCTCATCATCGTCGAGCACTTCGATGGTGAATACCCCAGCATTCGGTGGTTTGACGGGTTCGCTTCGTTTTCCACGCTCCTCCTCCATGTTTTCCGAGGCTGCGTCCTCGTCAAAGTCGTCGTCATCCTCCTCGTCCTCCTGGTCCTCGGCTTGGCTGGGCTCCAACTTGACCCTCTTGCTCTCCGGTGACTCCTCGAAGAAGGAACTGATGTCCGAAAAGCTGGGCTGGTGAAGTTCCGAGTCATAGCTGTCGCTCAGTTCACAGATGGGCTCGGTGGCCATCATGGGCAACGAATCATACTTGTCCACGCCCAAGACATTGTTGTTCTCCGACCAGTGACCCGGTGGATGCTTCTTGCTGCTGGTGCGCGTCTGACGCATAATATTCTCGTGTACGGCGTGCTCCATGAAGCGCATGTCGTTGTAGAAGCGCCACGATGAGGGCGTCTCGTTAGACAGGTTGTTGCGGATGTACACCTTGCGAAAGTTGTCCCTCAGGTGGCCCCACTTGATGCGGCAGATGTCGGCTGCGGGAGGGGCGAAACGCTTTATTACGAGGATTGTCTATTAGATGGATGGGGATTGTCTCACCTGGCAAATTAACATCCTGGCCGACCTCAAACCAAATCGGTGTGATGTCGCTCCGTCGCTGGCCACTCGTATTGTTCCTCAGCCATAGCATGGGGCGACGTGAAACGGCTGCTATGAGACGCTTCACCGTCTCAATGGGCAACTTGGCTGTATTCGTGAAGGCGAAGGAGGCCGCCGTGGCTGCTGCTGACTCATTGCTGTAGGCCAGCTCCATGGAGAGTCCGATTGAGATTTCCGATTGCGGTTCCAATACCAATTCCAATTCCGATCTCGTTCGTATCCGATTCCGAAGCAAGCGACTTGCGCAGCTCAAGCGCTCAGGCAGCACTGAAAATACGAAAAGTACGGGCACGCCGTTACGATGTACGATGCGAAGTGTACGGCCCAACCAGTTTACGTGCCTTTTGGCTGCTCGAAGGCGACGGCGGCGACGTCGAAGGCGGGGCCGAAAGAGAACCGACAAGAGGAGGAGGAGGAGGAGGAGTAGGGTATTGGTGCGGAGCCGAGAGAGAGGCTCGAGCAACAGGCTTTGCCACGATCGCGAAGAAGAGGCAGAACGGCCGCACAGCACCAACAGCAACCACAACAAAAACAACAAAAACAACAGTATCAAAGAGGCAACAACAACTGTCAGCCTGTCCCCAACTGGCAATATTATCCGGATGTAGAGCTTCCGCTGGCTGGCCGCAACTCACTGCTCACTGGTGTATTTGCTCGCTTTACGGTTGTTAACTTCGCCGTTGAGTGCCCGCCGTGGCGAATCCAATATGCTCTGCCTGGTCTGGAAAATGGCAGCTAGTCGACCTGGAAAAAGCTAGACCATATAGTGGACCATGCCTCGGTCTCGTTTTATAACCGAATTTCTTCTCAGATTCCTACACCCTAACAGGATATCCTTGAATCCCATTACCCTCCTGAAATGCTGGCCACTTCGGAGGGTAGAGTACTCCGCAGTGTAGCGTAGTTTGTTTATTTTTATCAAAACTGGATTTTACTACGGTCGGCTGGCCTGCATGGAAATGGGAATGGAAATGGAAATGGAGCTGGAGTGAACGTAAAAAATTCACGCCATTGGAGCTGGCGGAGAAGAGAGAGCCGCTGGCAAGAAGAGAGCTCAAAAGAGAGCGCGAACAAAGCTCCAGCTGGAAACGGTCGTGAGCCTGGAACTGAAGACTGGAGACGGTAGGCGGTAGACTGAAGATCGCAGACGGAGATCGGACCTCGGGCCTTCTTCTATCTGCCATGGATCCGTTGTCTGTATGTACATCCATGCATGGGTGTACATACATATGTGGTATGGGTGTTTGCACGTTTTGAGGAGCGAAATTGCAAGAGAAGCAGATACGAGAATTGGCGACCGGGGTTATTTATCGGATCTTTGTATCTGTAGTAGTTGCCTGGCTTTGCGGTTGGATTTCAGCTTGACATTTGATCCTCGCAGCTATTTTGAAACGAGCTCCCCGCACCCATACCCACACACCTTTGCATGGATGTATGTATGTAGGGCCAGCCAGCCGGACAATAAGTGGAATCCAACGCCGTAATTGGCCATTTTGAGAACGTCTTGCCAACCAACCTCTGAAAAAAGATATCACGCTGGCACACATACACACGTCGCAGAGTACGGACCGGTTCTGAATATCAGTCCGGGTACGTCGTTGAGGGGAAACTACCATATAGTACGTTTTTTGAAGGTTTGCAGAAAAATTGAGTTGATAAAGACGCTATGGTTTGGTCATGATTAAAAACAAATATTTTAACTAAAAAAAGTTTAATTTCTAATTCAAAAACGGTTATCAAAGTAAAAATTTAGATAAAATTTATTTCAGAATTTCGCAATATTTTTTTAGGCTCTGGCGGAAATTAAAAAAATTGTTTTATCCATACAGCTGAATAATTTGTTATCAAGTTGGATATAATTTCGCGAAAATAATCTTGAGGGAGCTAAGAAGGAGACTGAAATACTCTAGAGAACCAATCCTCTAGAGATCTACCTAACCAAGATTTCAAGGACAAACATGTAGGGCCTAAAATTACTTGGAAGATTACCAAAAATAATGGATCTTACCTAAAACTTAGTGCATATATCGCTACAGGCTTATTAGGATAGTACAATGTATGGACATAGATAATTAATATTTAAGTTTAATTTGTAAATAACTTTACTTACCCAGATAGTCCTCCAGTAAGCTTTTAATCGCCACTGTCAGTGTGGCCGTTTTCCTAAAGAAGGCAAATCCAAGGCAGAAAATTGATCGATTTCCAATAGGAATAGTGATCGGTTTTTGAGCTTCAAAGAACTCAAAGATAACTTTCAATAAATGTTCATCTCCATAGCTATTTTAAAACTATTTTCGATTTTAAAAAATTATACCTCAAGCACAAACAAAGAAACTCAAACGAAAGTCATGTTATCCCTGAATTCAATCATCAATAATACTACTATGAATTCCACACTTCACAGATATACAGATTATATTTATTGACATTCAACGAAACTCAAGAAGTGAGCGAAAATATATTGTATATATAAGCCGTAAGTACTCGGTTTCGGAATCCACACTGGCTTTTAACAAATAGACGAATCGCACGCTTAACAATAAGGAAATTCATTACAGGGTATGAGAGATGTTGATTTAAGAATCTGGAATTTATATGTTTAGACATATGATATATACTACACGTTAGGTATGCATATTTATAATGAATGGTAATGGAAAAGTAGTTGCCCGCCTAATACTTGGCCTTGCCCAGTCGGATAGATAGCGCCTGCGCTCGGTGTTAAGATGGTACAAATCCCTGCACTATTTTCGTTTACACATTGACCGAGCTTGGCTCCTCCTCGATGTTCTCGTCATCTTCTTGAGCAATTGATGAAGACGTGCCCCGCTTTCGACTGCTTCCGGCGACTACTACTCCTGCCGCCTGGCCCCCCGTCATGATGGAATAACTCTTGGAGCTCGACTTTCGGGGGCTGGCAGTAGGATCCTTCTCCATAATTGATATTTCTCCATTACTGTGCCCATTACTGCTATGCGGCGAGCAACTGCCGTTGCCGGTCACCACACCATTCCCATTTCCGGCGCCAGCCTCATTAATAAAGACATCCATATGGTCGATGGTGTCGTTAAGAGCAAAGCTCTGATCGCGGCGTTCGCTTTTCTTCCAGAGATAATAAAAATGTACCAGTTCGCGCATTGTCCTCGTGCGCACCTGTAAAAGTACAAGGTATATAGGATCTAAATGACAGCTCTGCAATGTTTGCCTTCTTACTTGGTTCTGCCGGATCTGATAAAAGTCTTTGCCATACTTCTGGATGCCCTCCTCAAATTTTTGACACTCATCCTCCGACCAACTGCTCATTGTGTCACTCAGTGGCACGACATTCATGCGCTTGCGTCGCAACGCCTCTTTGAAGTCATAGCCGCACTGAACGAGCAGGTGCAGCGCTTGCTCATTGTCCTTCACAACCTGTTCCACATCCCCAGCGGCAGGTGCTATTTGAACTTTTGGTGGAGCAGAAGGGACAGGAGGCGGTGCTGGAGGATTGGAAAGGTTTGCTGTAGAAATCGGAGCTGACTCGTCGCCGGTCGCGCTCTCTGTATCATCCTCTGAGGCAACAAAAGATCGCGTGTCCTGAATCTTCGCCAGGTAGTCTTCTACTTCACGCTCGCTGACCTGGCTGGGCTCCCATATCAACTGATCTTCATTCTCGTACGGTAAAATGTCCCCATATTGGGAGAGGCCCTCCGGAATCTCAGCCTGATAGTCAGTGCCCACCATTATTATCTTCTTGTCCTCTGTGTCAGACTCGCTGTCTTCCTCCTCGTCGGCCTCCACCTCGTCAAAGAGCGTCTGCATCGGGGTGACTGAAAAGATCATTACATAATTAAAGGATTAGGAATATGATTTTTTTTCTTTGATACTTACATCTCTCAACCTCTTCTAACGGGCCGGCAGGAGCTAAGTTACTGAAGGACTCGTCTGGATACAGGTCGAGCAAGTGAGACCGATGCGGCTTCTGTGAACTGTCGGATGGTGGTCCCTCTAGGGAATCCTCTATTGTTTCTGGGAGCGATGCCTCCTTCAGTGCGTCTTCTTTCGGTTGATGTTGTGTTAGATCCACACTGTCCATAGGTTTTTCCAGTTGTGAGGCGCTGCTGGACGTTGATGGCGATGTGTGCGCGGTCTCCATGTCTAGCTCCTGGTATTGGCGCTTGGTGGCACGACGCGCGCGCCTTGAACTGCTTGAGCGGTTGGAGCTACTGACTGCCGGGGAAGGCGCCATACCGCCATATTTGGCCAACAGCTCCTCTATAGGCATCTCGCTCTCCTCCCGCAGTGTGGCGATCTCGTCCTCGGCACTATGCGCCTCCATGTCGGCAAGGGCCTCCTCCTCGTTAAGAGTTGCTTCGTCGTCAAAGTCGTTTACCATCATGTCTATGGTTGGCTCGAATGTGGTATCCGCCACGGAGGACGATGGCGACATCGGCGCTTGGACGCTTATGCTGGTGTTGTCTGTAGAGCTGGTGGCGGGGGATTTCCGTCGCTCCCGGTCTCGCTTGGCAGGCGTTAGCGCCAGGAGGCTGCCGGAGTCCGCCGACGCCTCCGAGGCGCTATTACTGTGCAGTGAGTGCTCCGACTTCCCGAACTCCATCATTTTCCCAACACCAGTGTGACAGCGACTCGAGCGCCAAAAATATCCCCGCTTTTTTCAGCGAATGTGCTAAAAATGCCACGAAAAGTAAAATCATATACGGGCATATTATTTTCTGGTATTTTTGGTAGATTTTTCAAAAAAATTCAAAAGCTTCGCTCAGGTTTAAAATCAAAACTTTATCAACCAATAAATATAAAAACTTTTAATTTAAACGAAAATTAGACGAAATACTTTATTATAAAAATAATTGAAGTTGCGCTTAAAACTAGGAATGGATGAGAAAACAGTTCAAAATGAGATAAATAGAATTAACAAATGCGAATGGTGTTTTTGCCCATGACAACAATGGCTCCTTCGTCCTGCACTTCCTTGAGAGCATCCTCGAACTGCTCTCGAGTAATTAGCTAAAATAATTAAAAACATATTCGTGAATTACAGAACAAAAATTATAACTTTTGTTAAAAAATACGTACAATCTGGGACCCCTCCTTGATCTCCTTGAACAATTTCTGATAGGGAACGGTGGGCACCTTGCCCTTCTTCTTTAGATTCTCCTTGATTGCGGCTACCAAATCGGCACGTTTCTTGCGGGCAGCCGTGGACAAGCCAGTGGTAAGGATACCCACGTCGATCTTGCCCGATAAAGGATCCGTCGCAGACTGCTTTAAGGCTTCTCGATGCAGCCTCCAAGCTTCCTCCACATCTTGAAGCTCCACCTCATTGCTTAGACGCACCTTAGCATGTGCCTCCGAAAGCCGGATGAGACTTTCCAGCTGCCTGGGATAGGCTGATATCTGACCACGGCCAGCGCCCACCTTACGCATGTCCACGTAAGCCTGAATCAATCGTTGCTGTGCTTCGTCCGACAAGGTCGGGGACAAATGTTCACGTGCATAGGCAATATAATCGCGCAGTACACTCATATCCTGGAATACACACAAAATATAGCATATGTCATGTATAAATAAGATGTCATTACTTACAAACATAGTGTCCTCTTCTTCGTGACGGGTCACATAGTAAAGAGAAACCAAGTGGCTGGCCAAACGTTTATCAAAGATCTCATCTTGAGGATCGAGAACCAAGAAGATCAAATCGAAACGAGAGAGCAGCGTGTGGGGAAGCTGAACATTGTCGATGATGTTTTTGCGCTTGTTCCACTGAGACTCTGCGGGATTTGCGGCAGCTAGGATCGATGTGCGAGCATTCAGTTGGCAGATGATGCCTGCCTTAGCGATACTCAGTGTTTGCTGTTCCATCACCTCGTGGAGCACGCTACGGGTTGAGTCATTCATCTTGTCGAACTCGTCAATGCAGCAGACACCGTTGTCGGCCAACACCAGAGCACCGCTGAACACAATGAAACCATTATGAGTTTAAATGATGAAGGAGTAGAAAGACAACTTACGTTTGCAGAACCAGCTGTCTGGTCTCTGGGTCCTTGGTCACATAGGCTGTTAAGCCTACGGCAGATGAGCCCCGACCTGAAGTATATTGTGAACGCGGCACCAGATTGTATACGTATTGAAGCATCTGGGACTTGGATGTGCCAGGATCTCCGCACAGCAACAGGTGGATCTCTGATCTGAAATTCTGGCGACCAAGGGTAGCGTGTTTCTTTTTGGTACCGCCAAACAGTTGCAGCAGAATGCCCTTCTTGATGTCGTCGTTTTCGTAAATCGAAGGGGCAATGGCTCTTGCGAGGCGATCATAAATATCGGGCTTTTTAGCCAGCAATTGGAGCAGTTCGATGCGCTCCGGAGGGAAAATGTGGTCTTTGCTGTACGACATAGAGAATATTTGAAAATCTTTATATTTTTAAGAATTACAACGCTTACCCCTCCTCCTCTTCGTATAGACGCTTGTTGTCCACTTTTCTGAAGTGTACCACATCTACGTGAGTCTTGTACACACTCTTCACCTGCATTCCGCTGCCCTTGAGCGGTGTCGCCCTGTAGATGCCAGTGACTGTAACACGATCACCTGGCTGAACTTTGTCGACGAGATCATTATGAGCGTATAGCAGCACATTGTGCGGTGTCTGGCCGGCGGCCATATCATCCGGCGACTCCTGAAGCTTGATGAGCTGCTTGTCAGTGAACTCGGATCGATTATGAATCAGCCGGAAGCAGTGGTTGGTGTTGCAGTTGGTGCATAGCGTAGGCTGGTTGATTCGGCCACGATCAACTTCGACGGTGGTGCAGAACGAGCAAATGTTGCAGCTGAAGAATGCTTCACGCATCTCAGGAATGACGTTCGACGATCGAATTACCATTCCGCTGATGCTTATAAGTTGGTCCATATCCTCCGGATTCAAGGAGCGCATATTACGCGTCTTATCCGCGTTAAAGGGTCGCACTTGGATCTGATGCTCTAGCAGAGCGGCAGGATAACGCTCGAAGAACATTTCGTTGATAGCCATATCAAAGCCGGGTATCACCTCCTGGGGGTAGCAAATAAGTTGCCGGTAGAGGTCCTGATCAAAAGTCTTCAGATGCGAACAGTTCAGGTTTAGATATGGCTCCTCCAGAGTGTGAATCTCCTCTAGCTTTTGCAGGTACAGCGGCTGGTTCACATCGATGTTCTCAGAGATCTCGTCTTGCTCGGCACTGGGATCGATGAACCGCATGATGAACGATTTAAACTTGGATTTGCACTGGCTCACAACTACATTGGTGCCCCAGACGACAAGCTGAGGAGCCTGTGAGGACTCCGAAACTGGATCAGTGGTTTCCGAACCTTTTTCGGGAATGGGTTCCAGCTACAAAGATGCGCAAAATAATTTTTGGTTGATCAATAGGTTTTCGTATACTACTTACACCGGAGGAACCGCCAATGGCCACTTGGCGGATGCGCTTATCCGTCCGGATGTCAGGACGCGCACGCAATGGAGTACCCCGAATTCCAGAACGCGGTGTGCGAATGGAACCCATCGAACTTGGGGTACCATAGTTGAGCGGGGAACTAAGATCGATCTCGCTCATGTTGGCACCCAAACCACGAGCCGGACTGGTAGCCGGCAAACTAATATTACCCGGCGACGTTGGCGGCAAGCTGATATTGTCCGAGGGGCGAGCGCCAGTCCTGCCTGGCCCCATACGCATTGGTGTCTCCACATCCTGTGTAGTGATTCCTAGAAGCAGAGAAACGCCTTAATCTCAAACCGAAACACACGCATTTTACAAATTGTACCTCTTGTGGGTGTGCGAGCTCCCTGCTTTGGAGTAGCAGCTCCGACACTAGGGGAACGAGCAGGGCTTGACATTTTCGGAGCGTACTTCTTATAATTCTATTCTCGATGAGAACTAAAATAGTTGTGTATATAAACGATGCCTCGCTGGATCGCTGCTCCAGTAAAGCGCGGGAAATTATGACAGATGCCAGCCAGAGTGTTGTCAAACACCTTGGGTATGTACAAGTGTTGGTAAACTCTCGTTTAAGCATTGCGCGCCAAACAAGCGGCCAAAATTTATGTGCTGGCATAGACATAGTTTTAAATTAAAAGAAACCAAAATAGCAATTTTAGGGCACTTTTTAGGCGGCTGTTTTTATTTTAAATATTATTAAAAATATGGCTTTAAAAAATACACTTATCAATTGGCTAAAACATTTTTGGTATTTTTCAACGGTCTATTCAAACGATAACCGATAACCGATAGGTTTGAACCTTAGCTAAATCAGCGGGAAAATATCTAAGCTTGCAGCACTGGTCACTGTTTCCACCTACTGTGCAAATTTCATAAAACCCTAATTTCAATTGAAAATAATTGGTTTTACTTGATCCGCTCTTAAGCCGCAGTAATGGTAAGTACGCCCAGGCCCTCACTGTAGCCGCCAGAAGCCGGGAAAGCGAAAATTGGCCACCCAGTGTGCCTGTAATTCGAGAAAAAGCAAGCCGAAAATCCGATCCAACCCGCTGACTGTGCCTCTGTCGACGCAAGTGGAGCTCCTGAAGGGGAGACGAGAGCGGAGAAACAACGCCCCCTCCACCAATCTAAACAATCAACCAAACCCACCAGCATGTACCCCTGGAGCTCGTCCTCGTACGGTGGACAGGTGTCCAGTTCCTCCTTCCCCCGGGTAAATACTCCAACTTCCAGCTCCACCCCCTTCAAATGTGCCTATGTGTGTGTGCCTCGTCTGCTCGATCGCTCTCTCTCTCTCTCTAAATTTCTCTTGGCCTCTTATCATGCGACTAATCCTCCGGAGCCGCTCTACGTCGTGCTACTGACATCGCTGCTTCCTTTACGCTCGCAGCAAACTTATCTAAAGTTGTCGTTTTCTCGAATCTCGTTCGTCTCCATGTTTCTGATAGCAAGCGATGTTGAATACCGTCTTTCTTTTCAGACCATGCCGAATGGTTTGGATGACCAGGAGAAGCTACTCGCCGAGGCGATCGGAGCCGCCCGCAAGCAGGCCTTCCAGATGAACCATTTCCTGGACAAGGAACGGATGCTGGACTCGCTCAAGTGTGCCAGTACGATGCTCACTGAGCTGCGGACCTCGCTGCTCTCCCCCAAGAGCTACTACGAGCTGTGTAAGTAGCACTTAGTCATCATGGAATGAACCTTTTTTCTCACCAAGCCCCTCCGTTTATTTAGATATGGCTGTGACCAACGAGCTGTGCCACCTGGAGCTGTATCTTAGCGAGAAAAGCGACAAAAAGACGGATCTTTACGAACTTGTTCAGTACTCTCACACCATTGTGCCCCGCCTGTACCTCCTGATAACCGTGGGCATTGTTTACATTAAAAACGACTCAACGTTGAAGCGTAGCATCCTAAAGGATCTGGTGGAGATGTGTCGCGGAGTTCAGCACCCGTTAAGGGGTTTGTTCTTGCGCAACTACCTGCTACAGTGCACTCGCAACATTCTGCCCGACGTAATGGTAAACACCAACGAGCACGAGGGTAATGTCTATGATGCAATAGACTTCGTTCTAACGAACTTCGCCGAGATGAATAAGCTGTGGGTGCGCATGCAGCATCAGGGTCACTCCAGCGAAAAGACGAGGCGTGAGAAGGAGCGCGAAGAGCTCAAGATCCTGGTGGGCACTAACTTGGTTCGACTGTCGCAATTGGAGTCGGCCACGCTGGAGACATACCAGAAGCTTATCCTGCCAGGTATCCTTGAGCAAGTGGTCAGCTGTCGGGATGCTATTGCCCAGGAATACCTTATGGAGTGTATCATTCAGGTGTTCCCCGATGAGTTTCATCTCCAGACACTAGACCCCTTCCTCAAGTCTTGTGCCCAACTGGAAACTGGAGTGAATGTCAAAAACATTATTATATCACTGATTGAACGACTAGCGGCCTATAATCAGCGGAGCGGCAAGGTAATCTCCACCACCCTGCTTTAGATACGTTGGAAGTTAACATTGTTTCCATTTTCCAGACCAGCGGTAATGCAATTGATGCCATCATACCCGCTGAGGTTGAGCTGTTCGAGGTCTTTAGCGTCCAGGTGGCCAATATAGTGCAGGCACGCACGGATATGCCCTTGGAAGACACTATTTCATTGCAGGTTGCTTTGCTAAGCTTGGCTCAGAAAGTGTATCCTGATCGTGTGGATTATGTGGACAAAGTGCTGGGCACTACCGCACAAATCCTGCAGCGCATGAACATGAACAAGTATTAACAATTCTCATTGACTAAATTTAGTAGAAACTAACAGATGATCGTTTCAGCATTTCACATCTGTTGTCCGTGAATCAGGAGTTGTCCAGGCTACTGCGGATCTGCATCGACTTCTACAACAACGCACTAACTATTATCCAACTGAACAACTTCTGCCCCCTTCTGGAAAAGTTCGACTACACCTCCCGAAAATCTCTGGCCTTGTATTTGGTGATGAACATCTTAGACAACGAGACTCTTGTAACCACGGCCGACCAGGCGGACAGCTTACTGACCATTATCACACCTCTTATCAAGGACGATGATACGAACAAGGACAACCCAGCGGTCGCAGGGGTCAACAGTGCAGACGCAGAGGAGTTTGCCGAGGAACAGGGCGTTGTGGCAAGGTGAAATTGGTTTTCTCGAGGTTTAAGTTTGAAACTTTTATCAACATCTAATCTTTATAGGTTCATCCATCTTATGCGTTCTGATGAGCCCGATATGCAGTACAAAATGCTGCAGACTGCCCGCAAACATCTTGGCAACGGTGGCGGCCCACGTCTGAAGCATGTCTTACCGCCCCTGGTCTTTGCTGCCTACCAGCTGGCGTTCAAGTACAAGGCCATTTCTGAGCAGGACGAAAACTGGGACAAGAAGTGCCAAAAGATTGTGCAGTATTGCCACAGTACCATCAGTGCTTTGGCCAAGGCTGATCTGGCCGATCTGGCGTTGCGTTTGTATCTGCAGGGAGCTCTGGTCATCGGCGAGATTGGCTACACGAACCACGAGACAGTGGCCTATGAGTTTATGACGCAGGCGTTTTCGTTGTACGAGGACGAGATCTCCGACTCAAAAGCCCAACTGGCAGCCATAACGCTGATTATGTCCACCTTCGAGCAGATGTCATGCTTCGGAGAGGAGAATGCCGAGCCCCTGCGGACGAACTGCGCGCTGGCCGCTTCCAAGTTGCTGAAAAAACCGGACCAGTGTCGTGGTGTGGTGGCCTGTGCAGCTCTTTTCTGGAGTGGCAAGTAAGTTGAGAAACTAGAGGACCTCTAATGAATATATTAAATAATACCTATCCCCTAGACAAAACGGTGAGGAGATGCGTGATGAGAAGAGAACCCTGGACTGCCTGAAGAAGGGTGCTCGCATTGCCTCACAGTGCTTGGACACTGGAGTGCAGGTCCAGTTGTATGTGGAGTTGCTGAACCATTATTTGTTTTACTTTGAGCGCGGAAACTCGCTTATCACGGTGGCCATGCTTAACCAGGTATACCCGGTTCTCACCACTTGAAATGAAAAGCAAGCTTATTTCTTTTGTTTCCCAGCTTATTGCCAAGGTTAACGAAGAGCTGCCCAACCTGGAGCCAAGCGAGGAGACCAAGCAGATTGAGAGCCACTATAAAAATACACTGGCACACATACGCAGTCGCATGGAGTCCAACGATTCAACGTTGGAGGTCTCCTTTGCGGGCATCACCCTCAACTAGATCAGCCCACCCACCTTGGACACATCCAGCACTAAACGGAAAGCTGAACGCCAGGAGGGCGTGCTGTTAGTTATCCAAATGGCCGCAGGTCGTTATGGCATCAAAATTGCATGTGTGAAAAATGAAATTCCATGGTTAGGAAAGTTGTGGGCCTTCGACCAAACAGCAGAGTGCTTACTGACTTTTGTTTTGTCAATTTAATTTCGATCGCGTAATTGTAAGTGCAAAGTAAAAAAACATTCTTGATTATTTTTCCTGATTTAATTAGTACGATAGCTATGTATGCGTAAATAACCCCAAGCAACAATATTCCCTCAGCAAGAATATTGTGAAGATATTGTTAAACAAAAGAAATGATTATACAATATTACATACGATTATCGATTATTGCCCGACACGTTATAATTATGTATTAAAAAAATAATAAAATTAAGAACAACCTGTTTTGGAGAAGCATTCGCTTAAATGTGTGTAACCTGAGAAAGTGAATCAAAAGCTTTGGTCGATAAACATGTAAAGTAATTCGTTTATTAAAAATATATTAGCCGTAAAGGTTGCTTCGGTCTGTCAATCAGTTAGCTTGGCTTCCATTTCCATGCCAGTCCAACAGACTCTCGACGATCCAATAATATTCTTCTTTTCATCAATCACATGCGCTGCTAGGGGGGCTGACTCCAACTTCCGATTCCGATCTAGTTCATATATCCTTTCTGTTGTGGCAGTTATATTGTTTTCATTTTGGGACCAAGGCGGTGGTTAAGGTGGCAGTTTTGTGTTGTTTCGAGTCCAGTTAGTGGGTGAAAGAATTTTTTTGTTGGAAGGGGGGCAGGGCCTGGTTCTGTGGGCAGTTAACTTGTGCATTCGCGCAACTTAAAGCTAATCATTTTAGTCACTAGTTTCTAAACATAAACATTATAGATAAAAGCGCCTAATTCATTTTGAGTGCCGTACAGCAAATGGAAAATTTTGAAGCATGAGATAAATTTGTTTTCGTTTCTGCATTGCTCGAGATTGCTCGGTGCGAGGCGTTTTAGGCCCTATTTATCCTATTTCGCCGACTTTACATTGTAGTAGTTGTAGACATAGGGCCAGGAGGCCAGAACGTACTCCTCGATGCCGCACTCGTTGTTGCCGCGCAGGATGCGGAAGTAGCCACGTTCTCCCCACCATGGACCCCAGGAGTTGGCAGCAATCTATTGATAGAAAATAGTAATTATTAAAAATAATAATATTTTATACATATTTTTTGAGAAGACACTCACCCAATACTTTTCGCCATTGTGCTCCTCTCCCCAGCCGACCAACTTCACCGAGTGGAAGCCCTTGGGAGCTCCCCGATTGGCAGCCGTTTGCCGGTAAATGCCGCCAGAGTACGAGAAGAAATCGCGGTAGACCCGCATGGTGGCCTGAACCGGGCCGGAGTGATAGATCTCAGCCATGATGTCACCCTCGCGATTAAGAGTGTATGCTGGACCGACGGTGTAGAAGCTGTCGCGATCCACGTTGGGAGAAGGCCTGCAGCCGTTGGCCTTAAGAGAACGGCTGTTGTGGCGGATCTTGCAGGTGTCCCGTTGCTGGGTGTAGGGATAGCAGCTGTCATCGACAACACCCTTCTTGTGCAGGAAGCGCCAGGCGGCGTCCAGGTGGCCGCCATCACAGCCCTGCTGGCGACGAGTGCACGACAGGATATTCTGGGCGGAGAGACGGACGGCCTCCTTGCCCTTGCTCTGGATGGCGAAGCGATCGCTGGCCACCGAGGTGGTGGACAGAACCCAGGAGGAGCCACACCAGCCCTGGTCGGGCACCTCAGATATGTAGCTGGGCCAGCGCTCCACGGCGTTGAAGGAGCTGGGCAAGCCGTCGGTGGGATTGGTCAAGCGGGTCATAGCCTTCACGCGGTAGGTTGGCTCCTTGGTGCCGAGACGCAGGCGCAGACCCTCGGCGTACTTGTGGCCCCACCACTCGTCGTACTTCCGGGCCGACCAGCCGAGGTTGTGGATGGAGTTCACACTGTTGATCAGCTCATCGTCTGTCAGGCAGAGCTCCGTGTCGCACTGCACCCGACCGCCGTCCTGGCAGCGGCACTCGTTGCAGTTGTCCCACGTGCTGTTGAACTTGGTGAAGTAGTTGCCGTTGTGCAGGCAGGTGACCAAAGGATCCGCCTCACCAAAGCAGAAGGATCGGTAGTCGGGACAGCAGTCGCTGGAGTCATCGCGATCGCAGAACTCGTCACAATAGCACAGAGTGGCTGTAAAGGTGACAGGATAGGATATTCTTAGCTAGTGACTCCAAAATGCATTCCAAAATTAAAAACCTATCCAACAGTTTCCTTAGAAACGTGATATTTCATCATTCAAAGTAATCCCATTGATGACTAACTTCTACATTTATTTATGATGATTAATTACTTGGTTAACTACTCACTGGAGATGGGCACCGAGCAGCCGTCGTGCCTGTCCTTGCAGCAGGTATTGTGCACGGCGCAGTAAGGTCCTGGATAGTCCCGCTTCAGGGTGTGATCAAAGGCACTGGCCACGCCCACTAACAGGGCCAAGAGGCCCACTATCCGGGCGCAGTTGAGAGTCATAGTTCCTGGATGGGTTTCTAGTCAACAACTGAAACGAAGAATGAATGGAATTTTATCAAGATTAACATTTTGTATATTTACATTTATCTCAAGACACTATCTAATCGCATAAATCTGACCAGAGAGATAAGCGTATTGCAATTTGTCGCAAATTAGACTTCGAAATAGCCTTGCAACTCAACCGACAAAGCTAACAAATTAGGCAAATGAGGAAGGGGAGGGAGAACCCGTTCCGATTTGGCGGGATAATTAATTTGTACATCTTCTTTCGGATACGGGCCTGCTCCTCGACGGCAGCCCGCTCATCACGAATTCACCGACCGTCCCAGGCAGTCCCAAACAGTTAGCAGTTACCTTCTATCTAGGCTATATATATTCTGATGACGACAGCTAGTTGGCCAAGAAAGAGAAGAAGCCGAAGCCCTGGCCGCGGCTGAAGCCAAAACACTTTTTTTCACTTCCAAACTTTGTTCGGTCGTTTCTTAAAATCTGTGGATTCGGCAACAAAATTCAAATCTGCTCACAACAAACGAAAAGTCACTCTAGGAAGCGCCCCTTTATTTAATGTTTTTTGGCGTTTTAATACGCTATTTGTTGATTTTTTTCAAACTGATTATTCTGGAGACGAAGACTAAACTTGTTTATCGCTGAGAACGCCAAGACTGAGTTCTGAGTTTCATAAATAAATGCAAATTGCAAATAGATTTTCCTGTTTCGCCTGGTGACTTTTGACGTTCGACGTTCGGTTGGCTAAGAACATAATGGTCAGCGTTTTGGTATTTTGGTAAAGCTTTGTATTCAATTAAATCGAATCGCAAACGTATAAATATCTTCTGAATCACAAATAGAGGCGGCAATGGCCAAACAAAAGTCTCTCAGGTTCTCAAACATATCCCCACCTTCTAAAATTTTTTATTTCTCGGTCGATTGTTCGCTAATGCTGAACCCGTTTTTAATTTAGTGATAATTAATTTGAAAGTTCGGGTTGATAATTAATTGCCAAATCAATTGGCAATAACGTTTGGCGTGAAGTTGCGGCGAGAAAAAGATATTTTTCTACAAAAAATTGATTGAACTGTAGATGAAGCTCTGACGAAGCGTTATTCTTGGATCTTGGCAAAGATTATTTGCCAAAAACTTCGTTTTCTTTTTCATCATTTTTTTTTTGTGTGACACAGTAAACAATAAAGATAGCCAATCTTGTCCATCACTTTGGGAAGTGTTGGAGCTCGGCTAACACAAACACCGCTGTTTACAATATATCCCTTGTGGAACAATAAATATTGATCCGCTTACAGAACTCCATTAATACCAAGGCATTAAATCGATTTGTTGACACAGCAGTCTAGTGTTCTGATCCGCCAAACTACGCTTGGAAAGCTAAACAATTTTATTGACCAGTAACCGTACGCAATACTAACATTTTGAATACTTTGCACAAATTCGAGTCAAATTTCCGCCAATTATTTGAAACAATACTTTCGTTGTTAAACGATGAGTTTACGGTTCAGACGTTTCAATTTTGTATTAATCACTTTTGGATTTCTTTATCGTAGCGTTGTTCCGACTCCGATCGCGGTTCGTTGTTGAATGAATTCAGTTAGAATTATGGCCCGCCACTTAACGTAGCTGCTTCTGCGGATTCTGTTATTGCTGGTGTTGGGGCAGCGCTGTTTTCCGTCTCTGATCTCGGGTGCTGTACGGCGTAGGTGGCTAACTGGTGCCCGGGGAGGGACTAGATGGCTATGGACAGCAAGGGAGCACCGGAGAAAGCTAACAGAGAGGCTAACCGCGAGAGAGAGCGCTTCCCAGTCGTTACTGTTACTGCCACTGGGGCGTATACGTCATATGCACGGGAATCTGTTAGCTTAACAGCCCACCGAGTCAGGTTCTCAAGGTATTTTGGGGGCGAAATGTTTGACCGAATTTGGCAAGTGGCGGTGCAAATGAAAGCAGACACAGTGGCCATATAATATAAGTCTTCCCTTCTCCCATAAGGTAAGCGATTATCAGCAAAAGCCAATTTTTTTGCAAATTCCTTGGCCAAATTTTTGTGCGCAGCTAATTTAGTTTGGGTTTGTTTTCTTTTCTGTTATCTGACCCAAAAATTGATAAGATACATAAGTGCGATAATTGGACCCAATTCGAGTTCAAGGCTGCCAAGCAATATAATCGAATAAAATCAAATTAGACCCCGGTTATGGCTCTATCATATGAAATTGATACTGCAATCAATTCGGAACAATCTGCAGAGATTTTTCTAAAAAAAAAAAAGAAGAGCTATCAGATGCTCCAGTTGGATTCGGGATGTCATCATCGACGCTGTACTGTCTGTCATTTTACTTGGCACCGATTCGGGACTTCTGCTCTTTGCATGCCAGTAATTATCATTAAAAGTTTTTTTTTGCAATGTACATATCTTTGGAAGAGTCTCGTCATCTATATGAGATAAGCCAAACAAACATTGTGGTCATCAGTTGGCTTGTTTATGTTTTGGCCCTTCGGGTATGATGTCTGGAATGCCAAACAACTAACAGGAAACTACGCTCCAAAAATCTATCCCCTCAAATGACTCACTGTTTTCTATTTATTACATTATAATATGAATCACATTGTGGGGCCTTTTACGCTTATAGCCGAAAAAAAAGTTAGGAAAGCCAATTAAAAGCCAAGTCTC